CAACTCTGTCTACACAAAAGAAATTAATAAAATTAATATGGCAGCATTTATTTGGTGAAATGACTTTAGCATTGTTGCGCATTTAGTAATATTGTTCATATTGTCATAACAATCCACAAGTACTTTAACTTGAGCAATTTGATACCAGACAACAAATCAAAATAGGCATTTGTAACTAGCCTATTTTCAATTCACATGGCAAGTCAAGCTTATTTGTTTAGCACAATTCATACACAAAGTAATTCAAAGTGCTTTACAGAATAAGAAATGCATTAAACTCTCAATACAAACAAATCAAAACATAAATAATTATCATAAAATTAAAAAGAAAGAGAAGAATGCTGAATGAAAACCTTTCAGTCACATGCACAGCAAACAGAACTGTTCTGAGCCTGGATTTATACAGCGCTGTAGCCTACAACGTCAGCTACATTTTTTTTTTTTTTTTTTTTGCAAATGGGTGTGAGTATAAACCACTTATTATATGGTTTCCAACAGATCTCTATATATTCATTAGGATGAGTACAAATAGCCTTTAAGACATTATAAGGCTAAAGCATGAGGCCTATATGAGCGCCTATAACCATGCTGCAACCAGGAATTAATACTGCTTATTTGTTTAATGCAAGAAGGTACAGGCTAGCATGGCGTGGGGCTAGTGTTTGTAAAGCGTGGTAATCTCCCAAAACACAAAAGAAAGAAACACATGATTAAATGCAACACACCATTTTAGGTTCATTTTCATGAGAATGGACAATGTTTGTACGGGATTTGTTCTGCCCGATGTGTTTTAGCGAAATCCCAGTGCCAAACGCGGGCAAGTCCTTTGTTTGAGAAGATATATTTGGGCTAACAGCTAACATTAGCACGGCTTGTCGAGCGGCACAGATCGTGTTTCGTGGCCGAGCAGACATTAGAGACATGAGTTTATTTCCACGGCGTCCCAAATCAGACTGTCCTAGGACTTTTGCATTTAGCGCAGTTAGTAATTTGGTTGGTCCCTGACAAACCAATCCGTGCTGACAACAACTACCAATGCCTTCAATCGGGTCTGCCTTACCGTGTCTATGCTGTCCGGTATCCCTCTGATTGGCTCCAGTGCAGCTCGCCAAAGCCCAATCAACAAAGTGAGCGGACAAAATGGCGCAAATGAAACAACAGCGGCTGGGAGGAGGTGCGCAGTGCCCTTGTGCGCAGCTGCGGGGCTACCTAATGACAGCAGTGCAAGAAATGTCCACCAGAGGTCAGCGTTTAGCCTGGTTACTGCATCTAGTAGAATCTATTTTGTCTAGTAGTTTAAAATGTGTAGCTTGTACCACTATTTATATACATATATATAAAAAAAAACACTTCTGAAAAAATGTTAACAGGTTATCGCAACAACAGTTTTCACACACCTGCTCCTTTACTTTAAATTCTTATACAAAAAAAGAAAAGGGCTGAACTGATGTGACTATGAAAACACTAAATGAGAAATCACTTAACACTCCTAATATGTCCCCACAAGGACAACAACTCAAAGTACTCAAAGATACAGTGCTAGGATGGACAGGACAACATTTAAGAGATGATAGTCTAGTCAAAGTTTGGGATGGGATATGTTTTTTTTTGTTTTTGTTTGTTTGTTTGTTTGTTTGTTTTTGTCTAGAACATTGTAATGGCTGTACGTACCTTTGCAACAATTTCTACTCGTTATTTATAATGTATTTATCAGATATTGTTAGATTACACAAAGCGTATCCTCAGATTTATAATTTATTACCTTGACTGTCATTTGCTCTTGTTTTACTCCCTTCCGCTAGGAGGCAGCACTTTGGTGTTTGGCACATGTTTTGTTGTTGACATCTGTTGTGTGTGCCTTTGACGGTTTCATTTTGCTTGTTTGATTTGTTAAACGTTAAAACGTGTTTGTACGGTTTGTGGGTAATGTTTAGTAGCCCTAAATAGCACCAAACCTTTAGGCTTATGTCTCGGCCTGCGCAGCTGCTGTCCTTGGTGCTCTTCAGCGCCAGGACTGGTGCTCTGTCATTGCACTCTACAGTCACTTCAACCCGCTGTAGATTCATTAGTAAAGGGCCAAATAGCCAGCCCTGGCCCCGTGGCAGTCAACGAGCCCCGAGGAGATACCGAGATGAGATATCAAATGAGGAGGACGAGCTGGAGGATGTAGAGGGAAAGATCCAACGCGTAGTAAAGTAAGAATCGCAGTAACCCCTTTGTATATCTTTATTTCATTCATACCTTAAATTTGCTTTCTCTTTAATAGTAATGAGGTGAAGCGACAGAAGACCGTGAAGTATCACATCCTAAGGAGGAAGATGACTCCTAGTGACCACCAGAGAGAAAGCTAACATGGGAAGCTATTGAAGAAATCAGGTAGGGAGACCTACAACTGTTTATTAGTTGTGAAATAAATGAATAGATGGAAATATCTAAACTACCTACCTGAAATTAGCTTTATCAGAATTTCTTCACCTTCCTCTAACCTGTGCCATATGTCAGCACCACATGGCACTTCATATATAAAATTTTTACCTATATTAATGTGTAATTCTGACTGGAGGGGCTGTAGATGTAGATTCTCAGCCCTGCATCAGCCAGGCTGCCCCACTGCAACTGTGGCTACCAAAGTGGCTTACTTCATGATCATTTGAGAATTCCATTGTTTTCTGCACTGCATCATAGTGAAAGAGATGTCACAATTTAATCTTGTTATATTAAACATTTTGTAATCTAAATTTTGGTAGAAAGTGGTGTCTTTGGTTGATAGTTTTATCCTTTTAGATATCTGAAGCAAGCGCAGCCAGAGGAGTGGACTGCGGATCGTCTGGCAGAGGGATTCTCAGTAAGCAAAGATGTCATCCTCAGAGTGCTTTGGAGCAAATATGTACCAACACCTGAACGAAAAGCTAAGCAGGACATGCAAGTTCTGGTGAAACTCAAACAGCAGGCGTTGCCTTCAAGAGCCCGAGTGGAGCAGGAAAAAGGAAGAGTGCCTTCCAGTGGCACACAGGAAGTACTCGCATTAGGGAAGGGAGACAGTGCAGTGGTTCCTGCCGTGCATCAAAATATGATAGCTCAAACTGAACCAAATCCTTTTGTGACCAAACAGCCATTTTCAGAAATCACCAAACATTCCACGGATATATCACTAAAGGAAAAACATTCAATGAAAAGCAGCAGGGAGGAGGAAGATGAGGAAGAGGACTGGGATGGACAGGTTTTATCAGAGGACAACATCGAAGAGTTGATGACAACTGTAAAGTCTACTCCTGTTGTCAAAGATGGTAATGAGTTTTTTGATGGAGATGGGAACTTTTTGTACAGAATCTGAATGTATTCTATTTTTTCATATTATATTTCAAGTTTCAAAAATAAATCTTATTCTATAAATCTGTTTTGACCATTAATATGCCTACAGTTTGAATCATAAAGCATTTTTGTACTACATGCAATACAAAGTCCTTTACGTCTTGAATCATACACCATACTCACCCTCCTTGCCAAAGCCTGATCTCATCAGATCTCAAGCTAAGCAAGGCCAAGCGTGAGGCCTCGTTTTAGAAAGAGTTTGCACGGACAAAACGCCAATTTGACGTACGTGAAAAAAAATCGGGCCTTATTGGTGAAGCCTTTTTGGGAGCAAAGGTATGCTTACTAAGGCGCAGTAAATACAATAAAAGCGTCCGCAACATTGTCATGGTTAAAAGTTCACAGGAATCAAACTGCTTTAGCATACTGTTGTGGTCATGGGCAATATGTAGTCACTGGGGTTAGGTTAGTTATCTTTTACAGCAATTGTAAAAGTGTTTTCCCACAGAAATAAGCTAACTCCTGGGCACCCTGGGTGATATTTCCACGTAATTAAATATTTCAGAAGTGATCTTTTTTTATTTTTTTTATTTTACCTTATAGCCTTTTCTTTTTTCCAGCTCCAGATGTCGGTAGCAGTGTGAAGTAAATCAATAAATAAATTGGAACTGAATCAAAGCATCGGTGTCTTGTGGTACAGGTTAGATGTTGCACCCATAGACTGGATACTGTACTTCGTTATACAGTCTACACACTTGAAACCAGTACAAAACAAAGTAACACAAATAGTATACTTTGTGTGGTGTTGCACAGTGTTTTATTATGGAAGAACAGAAAGTACAACTATGTCAAAGATGACACCTCACAGACAGACCCGTTCATATAAAAGATGCCAATAGACTGCTGTGCTTGAAAAAGACTTTTGAATGAACCGTCATCATTTCAAGATGATGCAACGAGTCGGTTAGGTTAAAGGGATAGTTTGGGTTTTTTGACATGAATCTGTATGGCATCCCCGTGAGCAATGTCGTGCATCCACACTGACTTTAACCCCCGACAGCGTCCGGTGAGCTGAAACTCTGGCCGTTTTCGGTGCTGATGAAAGTAGTCCGGCAAGTTGGCAAGGGACAGTAAAATAAAGCGTTTTTCTTCTCAAAACAATATGTGTTCAAAAGAGTGATATATTTGCATCACAAAACCATCGTCCTCCAAAAACTCAGACCTTATAATCGCTTGGCACTATTTTCTTTCCTTTCGTATCACTGCGCGCTACCCACAGGTGACAGCCGTGCCTGGTTCACTTTGTTTACTACTTGTTAGCGACAATATGTCTGATTACGACACCGACGATGAAGACATTGCCTTTACCACAAAGCCAAGGGGATATTCTTATGTATCTTATACAAGCTTATATACTTATCGCTCTAGCTCTCACGTTAGCTCTCTCTCACGTTGTGGCGGTCTGCGCATGTAAACACTGCCGAACAACTGAAGAAAGTGATGGATCCCTGTGCGGCTGTCCCCTGTCTGTTTTCAGACACTTTAGCGCAAACTAATTTCTTCTGTCAAATGATTCTTGTGTGCAGTGGGCACGTCTCTACTGCCACCTAGTGCCTAAATTGCACACTGCAATTTCACTCTTAGGGTATCAGCAGACAACTATGCAACGAGGTGAAACTTGCTGTACTCATTTACTAAACTTAGAATGTAGCCAATCAGCTAGAACAGGGGTCGGCAACCCAAAATGTTCAAAGAGCCATATTGGCCCAAAAAAACAAAAACCATGCCTGCCTGGAGCCGCAAAAAATTAAAAGCCTTATATAAGCCTAATATGAAGGCAACACAGGCTGTCAGTAAATTTATAAACCGACTATTAAAATGACTAAGTAGGCTACAAATACAAAATGAGAATTCATGATACACAAACCCCTTTTGTGACCCTCTCATACTCGCTGCTCCGTCTGTAGCCACTGAAATCAGGTGGTTAGTGTTTATTCATTTGTCATTTAGGCCCCGTTAACACGTACACGGGTATTTTTAAAAACAGACATTTCCCTTCGTTTGTTCACATCGTTTACACACAAACGGAGAATTCGCCTCTGAAAACGAATATTTCTAAAAACTCCGGCTAGAGTGGAGATTTTGGAAAACTCCGGTTTCATGTTTGCGTGTAAACTAAAATAAACGGAGTTTTAGGAGCTGACGCGCTGAAAGTGCGACCGACGTTTACCTGTTGCTTTGACGACGATGATGGAAGTATTCAGAGCAGCAGTCGCATTTCTTCTGATCGTGCATAGGAGCACTCAGAAAACAGCAGCATGTAGAACTTTGTACGCAACATCAGCCCGGAGTAGAAGCTCTGAGGTCGGGCAGCAGCACTAAACACACGGGAGCAGTCAGCGCGCAGCCACTCAAGACAGGGCTGGGGGTCCAGTGTTGGTCAGATTATCCGGGGGCTTCGTCCTCCATGTCCTGGTTCCATATCTGGGCACGCAAAGCACTGGGTCCGAGTGCTTCAGTGCAGTCATCTGTGCGCTGATTCCGTGCGGGAAAAGCGAGAATGCGCTGTGGACCACAGGTCCGGGCTGCTCTGGTCCTCCGCGCTCGGCTGGTTCCGAGGGGTGCAAAGCATCCGGACAGAAGCGTGAATCCCGTTTGGTTTGTTATATGTTGTTCTGAGCGTCCGTCTGCGCACATGTTTTTTTCGCTTTTTCGGGGAAAGCGCTTCTCAGGTGGAGGCACCGGACACCACCCCCGCTTCAGCTCATCTATTTGTTTCATGTGTTTCATTTGCACACAGCTGATGGATCAGATCCATGACCAGAGATGAATGAGGGTTTTACCCCTAACGAAACCACATTAAAACAACCAAAAAATGCATTCCTTTTCCATTTTCACTCATTTTTGAAAAAGCTCCAGGGAGCCACTAGGAGAGTGCTAAAGAGCCACATGCGGCTCCGGAGCCGCAGGTTGCCGACCCCTGAGCTAGAACTATAAGAGTAGAAGTTTAAAATTACACTCCATTTATTCACCCTAGTGTTGTCAGGGGACAAGGAATTGAATACAGATGCAGGATGCATTAGTTTTTTGCTGCACTTCCTTTACAGCATTAAAGACAAACTATTGTCCCTCCCCTTGATATAACAACTTATGACCAATTACTATATTTTAAGACTGCTCTTACAGAAAAATGTTTTGCATGTTACTTAGGTATTCAAAATTGCCCTTCAGGACATGGCTCATTACAAATCCAAAAAAATTTACCTGCATCAATGTAGATATAAGCATATTATCAATTAAAAAGCACTTAAAAGACCAGACAGGACTTTTGAACTCATCCACATTTTATTAGAAGAAAGCATGTCTAGTAGAGACGCTGTGGTTTGCCCATTGTGCTCTTGATGTAAAGGGCACGCACATTCTGCCAATTTTTCTTGAGCAGTGACACCAGGAAGTTAACTGCGAGGTGGATGTTGTACACCAGCTCATCCTCTGTCATTTTAATGTGTCCAACAGCCACAGCCAGACACAACACCTAGAAGAATTTAGTGGGTTAGTTTAAGGGAAAATAAAGTGTCAAAGTTGCTCGTTTTTAAATTACCTTCTTCATCTGGAATTTAATTGTGGACTTGACCTCATCTACTTTGGTGTTCAGGTTCTCATTATGGGTGAGGAGGGAGGGGAACTTGCCAGCCTTGTTCAGCCCAGGACCCAGGATACGAGGGATCTGCTTGATCAGAGACTCTGAAGCCAGGAAGGCATCATACTTCTTGGCTATGGAGGGGAAAAAAAACCCAAAAAAAACTTCAGTTTAGAGTCCTTCCTAAAAGTTGAATAAAAATTTAAATAATGTTGCGCACCAAGTTTCTTGACCAGCTTTTTGTTCTTGTTGAGCTTCTTAAGCGCCTCAATGTCCATGTGTGGCAGGTCAGCAGCTTTGGCCTCATCACAGTGCTGCTGGTCTCCCAAAACACAAACTGAGAACTTTGGTCTGGGCAGACACTTCAGCCTACAATAAAACTTTACTTTTAGTATCACCATCAAACTATTACAAATCGTAAGAGACAGTTGGCAGAGAAGACAGTGATTCCCAGTCTTAATTAAATTTCAATTGCAAATGGGAGAAACAGATTTTCAGAAGATTCTTTAGTACAAAACTCTGCCACCCACCTCCGTTTTACTTTGTAACAGAAAGAACCTTACCCATACAGTTACCATGGCTGGTGTCCAGATGACCTCAACTGTACCTTTACGCAACATTGTTCGGCTTGGAGACATGAACGAGAAAGCTCAGTCATCCAAAACCTTCCCTCATGTTTTAAGACCCAGGGTAGGGGTCCGCCTGCTTCACTGCCCAGATCAGACTAGGTCAGCTCGGTCAGACTACCCAAAGTACTTCTCCAAGTCTACATCTGACCATCTGTACCAATTTAATTTAGAATTTGAGCCAATGAGAGACAGACAGGAAATGGTGTAGACAAGGAAAAGGATGGGTGAGACAGTAAAAAGTCGAACCTGACAGTGCCGGAGAAACGCTTGTCCTTCTGAGGATCATAGTTTTTCAGGCTGATTTGAAGCTCCACTGACTCCACAAATCTAAAAAAGTGTTAACATTTTTAAAATGATGCACATTTACAGATTTTTCATTTACTTTAGGAGCACTTACTTTCGTGGCTTGGCCTGTGAGCCCTGCAGAACCTCCCTTACAGCTTCATACAAAGTATCTCTGGAGACCTTACTGTTAAAATATACACGAGTACTTGTTACATTGCCAGTTTTTTAACTTTACAAATCATAGGCTTTCAGAAGACTAATGCCATTTAAACTAGGCTGGATTCGACAATGAACTTCTACAGCACAGCAACGAAATGCAAAAAAAGGAAAGGAAAATAAGCAATGTTAATGGATAATTAAATTTTTATTGGAGGTGTCAATGAGAAGGTTTCGCTGTTATAAGCCAACTCATCCGCAAATGTTAATTCAAATTATATACATAAAACCATTAAAATATGAAGATCCATGGATAATAGGACCATTTGGGATCACATACAACAATTCTCGAGAACGATAGATGCCTGTGGGTAGCTGGATGAGACTGGATTGATTGTAAAGTTAGCATGGGATTCAAGACCCGCCATGAACCGGTCTCGGCACAAGCCCCAACGCTTGTTAAACGCTTAAAATCCTTATCATGACGACACAAGCTGAAAATTAAGTGCTATTACAGTTCTATTAAGCTTATAGGTCAATTAAAGGTAAAAGAAAATAGCTGAATTAAGTCGAAACTCAAATAATTATAGTCTAACCTCATCTTTGCAGCTCGTCCCTCTCGTGGGCTACGATGAAAAAGGAAATTCGACCGGAAGCTACGCAAAATAAAGACTGCCTGGCGTGACGTCGATAAACTGCGCCAAATACTATTGTATATATACATACTACATACTTTTTTTTGTTTGTTTGCTTGTTTCAAAAACAACGACTTCATGGCAAATAATTATTAAATATTTGTATTTATTATTTAAGTATTTAGGGGGAAAAAAACTGTATTTGTAGTAGTTTAGTCAATGTTGTCTATTTAAGTCTCTGAACCCCTATGGGCCTATCACATTCATATAATTCAGTACAAGAGCCAGAAGGAAGCCTTTCAAGACAATTCCTCGTATATATCAGCACATTAAGTGGTAAAATGATGAAGTAATGCACACCAGTGTACACAGACTGGAGGCATGCTGTAGTGTCTTGGTCATGAACACAACAACAGTATGGATGGTGTGTTTGCGCAGCTTAACATGGTTTCTTGTTTCAACGACAACCAACATGTCATGAGAGAGCTATTACAGGGTCATGGACAGAAAGGGTTTGTCATGATAACAAAGGCTTACAAAGCGGTATAGTGAAATAAATGTGTGTGCTGCACAAATGCATCAACAACAGGTGGATAACAGAGCACCTACACCTACTACAAAGTTTTTGAGAGATTGGTCAAGATTTTAGACAATTTATTTACAAAAGTAGCTAAAGTAGTAAAGATTGATTTAAATACTAAAGACATCCAAAGGCCAAAATCCAGTTTCAGAAGAAAGAGAAGGGATGCTAAATGTTTTATATAGCAGCGGTATGGTGGAAAAATAACGTGTGTGTTTGACATGGAAGGTTGTAAAGAAAAAAAAACCCTGAAACTTCACTTTGACATGGAAAATGTATTTATAAGAAGTCAAAAACACTGATATTTAATACTGACAAAAACATTTAGAAATGTTTAATAATAAATAATAATGTTGTGAAATTAATAATAACCTGCACTGTTGCAGTTTATTTGGTTTTCCAGTGCTTACTCATGTGTGTGTAATTCTTTTTAAAGCAGCTTGAAGAGACTTTTTAAGGAAGGTATCATTGAGCATCAGGCAGTTGGACAGTGTATGTTTGTGGGCAGCATTTATCTGTAAATGACATGATCAATATTTAGTGCGGTGTTAATCAAATACATTCAGTCCTTTGCATTTGTTACTTACACTACTGCTGTATTTGGTGAGTACGGTGAGGAACATTTTTGCAAACTTCACAGATTTAATCAGTTCATAAGATTGGCTCATGAGGTGTTCAGTAAATTGTGTAAACAAATCTTCATTGATATCCAACTAAAATAAAGAAACCAAAAGTTACAATAATGGCATTTTATAGAAAGCGAGAGTGAAAAATTGTTTTACCTTGGAGTCCAGTAAGCAGTGTATAATGGATAGCACCGCTTCAGTCCACTGTACTTTGCAAGTCATCCTTTAAAAAAAATAAATAAATACACTCCCATAAAATGAACACAATGATAAATGCTTACTGAAGAACTAGGAGTCTGTAATGGGAATCCAAACAACCCTCAACCAGTTTGTTCAACAGGTCAGCTTGTAAATTCCCTGATAATGAACAAAGGTAATTAGCATTTTTATGCATAATGCGAAAAATATTTACTGACTATTCACTCACCTATGTTTTTGTCCTCTAAAACATGCTCAAATAAAGCATGGCACATTGGTCTGGGGTAGCGACTGCACAATGATGTAACTGTTGTAACCAAACATCTTGAGGCTGGTTCAGACAATGAAACGATCTGTAGGTTTCAACAATGCATGTAATAATTTTAATATCTTACCTTTAAAGTTGTGTTAAGTAATTAATAGTACCTTCTCGAGTAGGAGACTCCTAATAAATGTAGTCGCAGTGCTAAAACTAAGATCAGGAGAGAGAGCCAAAACACTGCTGCATAGTTTTGGTAGAACGTGTTCAGGTATCTTTGGTAAATTTAATGTGCTATAGACCATCTCCAGCTGAAAAAAAAACAAAACTGAAAATTATTTTGCAATGGAAAATCAAACTAATATATGTTGGTCAAATAGGAACTACCATGTTAAACCACAATTTTACCTGAGCAGGATCACAGTCATTGAGGATTTTCACCACATCTGAAGAGCCCTCGTCCCACTGCAAAAACACAACAAAGGATTATAACACAGTACTCAAACATGTCTAATGTCTCAAAAATTTGATTTGTTTAGTGACAGGCATTTCCTCTTACCTCTGAGTTGCTCTCTAGTAAGTCTTTCAACTGCAAAACAGCTACCTAAAAAATATACAATAAGGACAGATACATTATTTCCATTGGAAAATGATGTGTTGGTCTAGTGTCTTGTTTTCTTACCTTTATGTTCTCAGGCAGGGTGTCATGGAGGGCATGAGGTGGTGGGTCTATTGGCTCGGATGATATCACAGCCTCAGGAGCATCCGGGGTTTTCTCTTTCTTACTTAGTTCTTGTGTCCCCACATATTCACCAACACAAAGATCTATTCGCATGCGTTTATTCTGTTGACTGATTTGCTCACTGTCCGAGTCCTGGTAAACATCACTGCTCTTTCTTTTTCTCTGTGATGCAACTTGAGTTAAAGTTGAACCAGACTGAGATGCAGTTGAGATAAAATTGAAGTAGCTGGCCCATCCTCCAGCTTTATCACTTCTGGGGAGTTGATGAACTAGCTTTGTGAGACTTTGACCACACTGTGCACTAAACAGAGGCCTCTCCTTGTCAATGTTAAGTTGTCTTTCCAACTGTGTGACCAAAGATGTGACCCATGACTTTGGACAGTCCTGTTTGATGCAGTCCAGCAGATGACTGACAGTGGACTGAAGTAGAACATGATGAAGGTGATAAACAAAAGCCAGAAGGTTTTGTTTAAATAAACTTGGGAAGAGACATACCAATGGTTTACTGCAGAAAAAGCAAATTAGATAAAAATAGATAATTATGGATTGTTTAGATCAAGTTATGATTAAGTTTTAAAGTGTCAAACTAATAAATTAAATACATTTAATGCTTATAGTTTTGTGGTCATTCATTACAGTAAAAAGTGCCACTTGTTACAATGGTAATAAGGTGAACACTTTGAGATCTACCAATAACCACTTACAAAAGGGAGGGCATTCATTTCATATTCATTCCCATAACTCACAGAATGACTGGGCGTTCTTCGGGCAGTGCACAGGTGACCTCGTCTTCACATAGCGCCTGTATAAAGTGATCCAAAGAGGTGTCGGAGTTTGCCCGCTGCTGTTTGTGGAAAACCTCCAGAGCTCGGTGAACGCCATGGTCCCCGGAGAGCAGAGCACGCACCAGCAGCCTCCACTGCCCGTCAAGGCGGTCCACAAGCATGCTGAAGGAAATCACGGTTCACTTAAAGCAGTCATGCTTCACAGCACTAGTCTGAGAAAACTGAATCCATAAACGCCATCATGGACTAACCCACCGCTACGGGTTACATTAGCTTCTTCTTCACATAATCATTTATCCAAAGACTTGCTGCGCCCCCTTTTGGTGTGAAATAAGAAAAAATATATATACAACCGGTCCAAAAATGAATGGGCTTTGGCAAAGCTGTCAATTTGTAAAAAGAAACAACAAAAAAACAAAATACTTTGTCTTTATATTTTGTATAAATTGATATCAGACTAGGTGGACAGTAAAAGTAAAATTGTCATTGGCAACACATTTGTGCAAAGACAAGAAGCAGAAGACTTTTCAGTGAAGCATGTTTATTTTCTGTGTACAAGTACAGCTTGTTTAAAAGAAATAAAAGTCTAACATGTAAATATTATTCTTTGATTTGTGGAGCAATAAACATACCAGCCACACAATGTTAAAATATCAAATATGGTGCAAATATGCTAGGGCAGAGGTTCAGATAAGAGCACTAACTGACAATGCTAGGGGAAATTACAATGTGCAACACATTTGAAGTACTTGGGCAGGGATGGGGGTAAAAAAAATTTGTTAAGCAGCACAAATTCAACCACTTTTCCTCTTTGAACAATTTTCATATTAACAAGGAAGATAGCAACTCTACAAAGAAGTTGTGTGTTGAAACTAGACCATAACAGTAATCTCACTGCTGGGACAAAAGAACTCTTGAGTCTGTCTAAAAAAAAAATCATTCTCCATTCTAAGTATGTCTTGAAACTTCAACACACCCAACTTAAGCTAGCCATGTTCAGCCTTAATAAATTGTATAAAAAGGAAAATTAGCTAAATTAATGCTATATAGTTTGGGCAGTCAAAAAATCCTAAGGGTGAAGAACGTGCTCTCGAATCAAATATAATGGCATGTCAAAGATGTTAAACTCCTCATCATAATCATCGTCCTCATCATCGCTGTCTATAAGAGCCATGGCTAATAAAAGGTTGAGCACATCTGAAGTGTACAAGTCGTCCGTGTCCTCAGAAATCTGTAAAACATAAGATTATTTATCCTCCACTGGGAAAGCATTATTGGTAAAACACAAACTTTACCTCATGTGGTGGCAACTTTTTATCATGACGGTAGAGACAGTCAGATTTAAATGGGCAACGGCCTTGTCGCAGATAGAAATCACATGTTTTCTTGCTGTGAATTAAATGAGGGGAAAAAAAAAAAACATGAATGAGTTTCAGGGTAAACTTAATTTAACAAAAAAACATAGCACATAAATAATCACATTGCTTTCATGCATTTGTATTTTGTGATGTATAAAGATTATTATAAATTATAAGCAAGCATATGCAGATGATAAAAACTAAATCATGGAATTTTTTCAAAAGTTTTCTGACACAAAGATGTGATTTATGCATTAACAGTGAACCAGAACGTTCAATCCTGAGCTGAATTCCATCTTCTAAGTCACAGGTGTCAAACATACGGCCCGGGGGCCAGATCCAGCCCTCCAAGACCTTTAATGTGGCCCTCGGCTGATTTTCTACCAAAATATTTTAATTATATGTTCTATTAAAATATTGTTAATTTTCTGCGGTGTTTATCACAGCAGCATCTCCAGCGTCTCTGTACGTGGCCCCTCCCACCAGAGCAGCACAAATGAAGACTTGTCTCTTCCCAAACGCTCTTAAAGGACGATCGTTTTGACTGTTGACCGTGACACCCTCATCAGCAAAATGTCCAAAATGAGAAAAGTGGAGGCGAGTGCAGGATTTTACAAGAAAAATTGACTTATTCCTGTATACAGACAAGTTCATGTTAAAACTAGGGGTGTCAAATTATCGCGTTAATTGCGATTAATTAATTACAGTCATATTTAGCGCGTTATGTTTTTTAATCGCGTTAATCTCATTTTTAATCTCTAACTTTACCGTTTCTGTATGGGAGTTGCTTTATTATAAAACCTGTTTTTATGTGTTGTTGGGACAACACATACACAAAAAAAACACATTTATAAATTTCTTTTATTTAGGTAATTCCACTCATTGCCGGAAACCCACACAAAACGCACGCAGTAAGAGCGATGTAAACGTCATGTTAACGTCGGTGGCGTCAGTCGCACAATGGACGAGGTCGAAGAGCCAATAGAACAGAGTCAGCAGGTAAAAACGCATTCGTGTCTTGGAAATTATTCTCCCGACGTGAAATATAAAAGAAAATAACAAATATTAAATCGCCTACAACTTAAATGTCACTGGTGAAAACAACCTGCATAGGCTCATGATGTCTGCACTACTGTCCTATAGTGACCTGCCACATGAGGAGACACGCACACAAACACACACAAACACACACAAACACACACAAACAAACACACACAACACACACAAACACACACAAACACACACACACACACACCTTCATCATCGTCATTAACCTGAGAACGCACGGAGCACGTTTCCTTCCGTAGTTACTGCGCGGACATCGCGGTCCTCCGGTGCGCCGCGTACGTTTTCTCGCGTACGCTGCGTAAACCGTGCTTCCTCCTGTGCGCCTCTAAACCAGAACTAACACCAAGACTAAAACCAGGACTAAACCAGGACTAAACCAGGACTAAACCAGGACTAAACCAGGACTAAACCAGGACTAAACCAGGACTAAACCAGGACTAAACCAGGACTAAAACCAGGACTAAAACCAGGACCAACCCATTCCAGGACTAAAGCAGGTCTAAACCAGGACTAAAACAAGGACTAAAACCAGTGATCTCATATATAAAACATTTCCCTATCAATAATATTTTTAATATGGTTAAGGAAAGACTGGACTTTTTATTGTCTTTAAGTAGACAAAAGTTATTATATTCAGATTTCCTAGTCTTTGCTACTTTACAGCAAACAGTTTCTTATTCATGGAGACTTGGGCTCAACAGCCAATTTGAAGAGATTTGTTGAACAATAAATGACAATAAAGTCACTTTTTTGTTCTATATCAGTCTTTTGATCTGCCACAATAATGTAATAATGAATTTAAATGAAAATACCTCAAATTGAAGGCTTTTCTCAGCAATTTTTAGGTGAGATTAAAAACAGATTAATTAGATTAATTAATTACAGATCATAATTAATTAATCTCTCAATTTTTTTTTATCGCATGACAGCACTAGTTAAAACATTGTGTTGAAATTGCATTTTTCTTAAAGTTTCAGGTTGTTCATAATATTATAATATTTTGTCAAAGAAAGAGTTCATCAATTAAAATAGATTTCTGTAATAGATTTGTGTTTCTCTGCACAAATATTTGAACTTATTGTATTTTTGGGGTTTATATGACATGAGTTTTCTGTAGGTTGGATATGGCCCCCGGACCAAAATTACTTTGACACCCCTGTTCTAAGTGAACAATATTTATGGATCACAAAATGATAGGAAATGGGCTGCCAAAGCTGTGCATTCATTTCAGTGAAAGCTTCAACTGAAGTTTGTTGCACGTTTATTTACCTAAACTTGTTTTTGAAAGCAGCAATTAAGGATTCTTTTTCTTGTCCTTCAACCCAGTAGTCGTGTGGCACATAAAATCCAGATTTCACTCTGCACTGGGGACAACTCCTATAAGAACAAACAAAACAACGCATTACAAAAGGTTCATGAAGTGGAGCTATCTTTTATCTTTGATACTCACTTGACAACATCGGGTGAAAGCCGTCTCGTCTTCCTCCAGGTTTTAATACATTTTAAACAAAATGTATGATTGCAGTTTGGCAAGATGCCAAACCTGCGTTCGCCCAGTTCTCGCTTTTCAAAAATCTTATCCATACAGATTCCACAGGACATGTCTTTACTGCGGAGAATGGCTTGAGCCCTGTCTGCAGATTGTGAAGGACCAGCTGTAGCACCTTCCATTTCCTCATTTGGAACATTTCTCTGGGGTGAGGAAACAAAATATCTATTAACCCCAGATGGGTAGAGTAGCCAAAGCCTTCAAATTAAAATAATTTTAACAGGGTTGTAGCCATGTCATGATTTTTTTGGGTCCTCATCCAAGTCCAAATCATCTCATTAATTTAGTGAGTCCACTCTGAGTCCCTGAGTGAATTCTCATAGCTTTAAACTTAACCTGCACCCATATTTATGTGACTGTAAAAAATAACAAAAAAAACCAAACCTGCAACAATCTTCCAGTTTCTGAACTTTGTGCTAAATCCATCTGTCTGAATCGTCTTTCTGCAGAATAAACCATAAGAAAAGCATGACACTTCCAGGTGTGATTGTATGAATATTCCAAGTGTTACAGGGTGGATAACAATAATTACATACTAAAATTAAATTAAAAATAGACAGCTGATAAATACAGACATTTGAAAAATAAGCATTTATGTACTATACCTAGTGAATGGGCTTCGATTGTGTTCATTGCCACATTGCTGGCCTGATTTGAAGAAGTGTTTGGTCCATGACTGTCTGCCTGTACCACTGTGTGCTCAGATACACTCCTCTCTGAGAGACCAGGGGCCACAGAGGAGAAGAACGAGAGTCTTCCTCCAGATGGAAAAACATGAAGAAACCTTTTAAGAGGAAAACAAAAATAATAATAGCAAATCTGTGTTTAAAATGCAACCACTCTCTCAACTTACTTGCAGCGGTCACCAAACCAGCAGTCCCCTTTCAGAAAGTGCCTACACATTTGAGTTGGTCTTACATGTCGAAATCGGCATCCATCACCATAAATACAATTACCACTGAGGAAACGCCTGCGAGAAAGGATGCAGAATTAAGCGTAATATAAAAAAAAAAAAAACACCCGCAAACAGATGTGCCAAGGGTAGTGGTATAGATTTACAAATATTAGATTTGACGTCTGTTGCTGCTCTTTGAAGGACTAAATTAGACAACGTAAATTAGGCAACGTGTTAAACACAGTTGGAAGATCTTTAGGAGTTCACGTACAACGAAAATGACCAACTGAGTAAAACAAAGATTGTGAACTTTGCGAGAAGGTACATTCACATGTCTTTAGGGGCAAAGGTGTAGTTGGTTGATCGGGTAACAGTAACTAATAGAGACACATTTGGAGAAAGTTTAAATCATAATCAGGTTTTTAAAAAAGCGCTTTTCTGACAACTTCTGCAAACAAACGAGGCGTGAACCAATATAAACGAATATGTCAACTACAGTTTTATTGCAGTCTGCGGACGCTGATTTCAAGGGTATAAAAACACACATTTAAAAAGACAGCATGGGCCATTGTGTTTGTAGTTTACAGCTCCGCAGCCACTTAACGCTTACAAACAAGTCCTGTATTCCACTGCACAGATCAGACGTGTTAACTTGGTGCAACCGTTAACGTTATCTCCACTTTGCATTGCATTGTTATAAACAGAAAAATCTCTTTTCTTACCTACAAATACTTCCGTTGCGATTGAGCCGCTCCATTTCTAAACGCCTTGGTGTTGTTTTGAGCTTGCCGCCTCGGTGTGGTGTTTATCGCGATATCTAAATAGTCTCTTCTTCCAATCAGCATTGATCAGCACCAGCGCGTACAGCAGCATGGACCCAGACACGCTCCCTAGTGATGAGCTGTGTATTTACGGTTTAAATAAATACACCCCCGTCTCCGTGCAGGGCCTTTGTGAAAATCTTGCAAACAAAAACATTCTGAATTCCACTGCGGATACAACTAGAGGCAAATGTGAAGTTAAATATAACGCGATTTCCAAGGAGAAACTGCATCACAGAATTTCACAATATGAAAAATCAGGAAGGTTGATGAATGAAAATCATCCAGATACAATGAAGCGATGTTAGACCCTAGTTTAAAGCAAGATTACATTATTGGTTTATTTAATGAACGTGATACCCTACGATTGGTGCATATATTTTTTTTTTTTGTATAAAGGCAAAATTCTTTTTATCTTACTGAATTGGCTACTTAGAGAAATGTTAACTTCATCGTTTTTTTGATTGTTGGTTATTTTTTTGTTATAGACTATTTAGGCATTTAGTCAGTTAGTGTACATACTAAGTCACATGCTCCTTCATCTTGCCTGCAGTAGCATCTATTTCAGAATTTCTGATTATTTTATAGTTTATGATTAACTTCAGTGTAGCTTACATTATCTGCAATGACTGTTTCAGCATTGTAAATTTAGACACAAATTACAACTCACTGGGTCAGTCAGCTACATTAGAGATCTTGTGTACACAGACCCTTGTAACATATATGCTAAAAAACATTTAAAACATTCACAATTATTATCACAATACACAACTGCATTAACTGATCTGAAAAGACCCCAGAAGGAAAAGGTACCCAATAGATCAGAGTGGGCAAAAATAAAAATGAGAAATTTCACATTTTTGAATCTAATAGTTTAGAGATCTTTACTTTATCTATCTATAAACTGTTTACAGGTGGCTAAAATACTCAAGTAACATGTTTTCTGCACAAGTAAATAAATTCATCACTGTCACCAGGCAAAGAGGTAGTTAACAAACACATTTGGTGTACTTTTGTGTTTTATCCATCCACAACCGTTATTTACTTGGCACACTGCACATAAACCAAAAAGCAGAAAGTAAGGCAAAATGCAAATTGGATGAGACAGGGGAATTGTCACACATCATACAGTGTCAAGAGGTAGATAGGAAAAGGGACAAAGGAAGATTAAATCCATCAGACATTAAAAATTTGTGCAGAGGCAGCCCATTCAGATTTAGACAGTGAAATAGTGTGCATAATATAGGGGCCTGGAAGATATAGTAAGCCATTGTAAAGCTCTGAAAATGAAAATAAAGGTTTTACGGTAAAAGAAAGAAAATACAGATGTGAAGCTGATTTGAGAAAAAATAGATGTTTTTCAGGTCATCCAAATCTCTCACTTGAAAAATAGCTTTTCATGATATATTTGGTACAACCTCAACCCAAAGAAATCTGACAAAAACAAATGCATTACATAAAACCGTACAATAAATCATATTTGCCCTTAAAAATGATCATCACAAATTACAAATAATTAATAACATAATTACACTGAATACACTAGAAAGCTAAAAAGTTGCAAGTCAAAATATATATAAACATAAAAACACATTGTCCCTTGTACTTCAATGGGCAATAAGCTGATAGTGTCAGACTCAGCTTAATCTGTGCAGCATATATTTACCACTAAGGTTCATGACTTTAAGACAACACCTGTTATTTGAGGTTTCAACTTTAATGAAAAGATGTAGCACAATTAGCTGTAGCCTATGCAGAGCTTTACTTTGCTGGAGCCAGCCCAGTTTGTGTTGTAGAAAATGAGAGTGCAAGTACACTACAGTATATTTATGATGAACAGTGAACAACCTTGGGACAATATACTTTATAACTTTACATATTGATGGTTTATTTTTGGTCATGTGTGTGATTCATGAGAGTGCTAACAAAATATATCGTTTGCTTTGAACCAGCAGAACATCTCTCTCAACACTGGGGTCAGTTTGCTATTAAGAAATAGGAGCAGCCTTAGTAAAAAAAAACATATCATTCCCACTGTTAAGCGACCTTTGTGGGAAACTACAATTTCAAAAAATGATTCCAGATGCTGTTAACACTGAGAAGACTGGTTGTGTTAGCCCTACAAACAGACTTTGTCTCATCTGAGCATTTTGAAATCCATGGCCTTTAAGTGGAACAGTGCTAGTACTGGTTGCAGTGTATTCATTTATAAATTCAGTTCAAAATCTGTAACAGTATTGCTAAAAGCAGTCTCTGCTGGAAAAAGCTAATACATGTCTTTGTAGATCTCCTGAAGAAGAGGGTGAAGTGACGTTTCAGACTCAGTCTTTTTGATCTTTTGGACAAGCTGAGCGTTTTCTGTGACCAGCTGCCGGAGGTCAGCCATCTTCTGCAGCAGTTTGGGAAAGAGGTAGAGAGAGTCTGAGTGGTTGGCCTGAAGATGGAGGTCCAGCGCCTGCAGGATGTTGTCCTGACTCTGCTCCACTTGTTTCACATTCATCAGCCCAGGACGATCTGACAGCATAGGAAGAGCAAGGACATCCCTCTTAATTACACTTACAATTAATTTTCATTATTATTATTATTATTATTTACTATTACTACTACTACTACCATCATTATATGTTCAATATATATTGAGCATAAAAGCACTGCTAATTGCAGGTCAGAGAGTTCCAGTAAACCAACCTGAACAATACCATACTGTTTGTGTATAAGGCTGTTCTTACCTCCACAGAGAATAATGGCAGCGACAAACAGCGCCAGGTCACTGTCATCGAGCTCCAGAGCGTTGAATTTTACAGCAAATTCAAATTTAGGCTCCATAATTTCACTGAATGGCTTTCTCAAACTCCGCAGAAACTCCCTGGTTACAAAGCCTTTTCCGTTGGCCACCAATAGTCCATCTTTGTTCATAAGGGATGGAAGCATTGCAAAAATAGCCTCATGTACACCATACTTGAGCAACGTCACCTAAAAAAAAAAAAAAAAGTAAAAAAAAAAATTGGTCACATTTCAAGGCATGGACTTCAGGTTTATCGTTTATAGCAACATTTTGACCATTCAAAAGATACATTTAGTTTCCAATAATTCATTTCAGTGGCAACTGTTAAGTTTTTCATCACTCTGAAACTGATGGATAGGTATTATAAAGCCACATTAAAATCTTAAGACCAAGACCAATATGTTTTGCTTTTTTTTTTTTTAATATGGGAAGCAAATTTTTTTTATGGTAAAATGGGCCCAGTGTATGATTACGTAGGTGGAGGGTCTGAAACCTGCTTTTCTTTATGACAGTTATCTTTTTTCTGAGATGTTCCCCTGAATGGAATTTAAAAAAACAGCAGGTGGTGGACCCTTCTCCAGAAAATGTGCATAGTTTAATTCCAGCTGATAGATATCGCTTAGCCTAGGTCTTAGGCACTTCGTTAGGTCAACTTAATAGTAATTTTACATTGATCAGGATACAATTTACCTGATCATTGAGAAAAAGGTCCACAAAACCAGGAATGCACTTGGCGAACTCTGTGAGCTCCCGCACAGTCTCCACAGTAGTGCACTGACAGCGATAAAACACATGGACCCCGATCTCCTTTGTCAGGGGAGCACCTGGAACTAACTGGCTCCAGACCAGTCCACTCTCCGCCTTCCACAGTGTGTCAACATCATAAATCACGAAAGGCTGAAGGAGAAAAAATAAACAAGTGGTCAACAGGTTCACACAACAAAACAATCTATTCAATTATAAAATAGGGATGTCAAAATGAATCAATTTTACTACAATATTCATGATGGTTAGAGGATATAAGTAAAACATAATCTTAACTTACATACTTAAGGAGTTTTAGAAGCAACATTATATGAATAAATTAAGGTACACTCCTAAAACATGTATCGTATTTTCCAGGCTATAGGGCGCGCTCTTAAGCCTCCAACCCCATCAAAAAACGACTGCACGCCCCACAATCCAGAGCGCCCTATACACGAATCCACGCGGGTGTCCCAGCACGACTTCAGTAAACTACAAAGCCGCACCACCCACAGCGCACGCAAACACGCACGGAGCAGACAGCGACCGCGCAACGAAAAACACCCGCAGCAGCCTCCCTACACGCCACAACTGAACAAAGCCGAGAGTCACTGTGAACGCGCCAAACAAAGTCTGACTGACCCATCTAACTGTTGTGTTTCATTTAAAGTCCAGTGCGGTTTATTTATGAAAAAAGCTTGAAAATAGACCCTTCTATGACAGAGCGACTTATAATCCAGGGCACCTAATAGTGCCAAAAATATGGTGAATTACTTCTTATTAATGTTAATTGGTCTAATTCAATTATAATTTACGTAGGCATATTATTACAGTGTCAATGCAAGCAAGTTTGACATCCCTATTGCATAACAATCTCTGCCTTTGCATATGATTTAAGCGTACTGAAGTGCTGCTGGTTTTGCCCATCAGGATGCTGCGGGCCCTCTTCTTGGTCATGCTTAAGTTCTTTAAGTAAGCTGTGTTCACTTGTTTGGCTAAAGTCTTGAGATCGGAGCCTCCAGGTTTGAGGTTCAACTCTTCTGCCAGAAGACCAGCCACCAGCTTCTTCCTCTCCGCTTCAGGCATACGTCCATATCGGATTGCTGCAAAAACAGGTGCATGCTAGTTTTAGAGTTTAGAAGTTTAGAAAAGAGAAAATGAACCACATCTCCTATGGCCAAAATACTCTTTTTCTTGAGAACAGTGTTGCAAAGCTTGAACTACAGCAGCAGAGTCAAGCTGTGTCAAGGGAAAAAACAGAAAAACAATACATTGAGAATAAGATATTTTACTCTTCTTTTTTAATAATAATAATAAATACAGTTGCATGAGGAAATACAACTATATTTAAAACATATTGGAAGGGGCATATAATTTAAATAATAAATTGCATTATTGATTCATATAGAGAAATAAAGTCTGTCAACTTGATTTTCATGTATTTACTTATTAGGATGGTGTACAATTACATTAGCAATAAAATCAGAGATTCATTACCAGATTGTAGTTTAGGAACTAATTTACATCTGCAAAATTTGGAAACTTGGTGTATTCATCCAAGTAGCTTCTTCGGTTTCAGAGTGCTGTCAGATGTGAATATGCTACCTGAATAAGCGTGAACCTGTATTCTGTCCAGGTGACAGAATTTGACCTGCTTTAGCCATGTTCCCTATCAGGACAAGTGGGGGGTTACACAAGCAGTGTACCCGTGATGACCTAAAATATATTTTAATCGTTACCTTGCCTGCATATTGAAATGTACATCATTTTAGTTTTAATGTGCTTGAGTCTTACCATCGTGGGACATCCCTAAAGACAGGCACTTCTGAAAACGACAGTATTGGCACTTGTTACGATTCTTCTTCTGGATCTTGCAGGAGCGTTCACAGCGCTCATATTCTAGTTTCATTCTCACAGTTCTCCGGAAAAAGCCCTGAAAAAAACCCAACAATTTACCCCTTTAATCTTTTTGATGACTGAATCTTAGGTTTGTTCTGGTACTGGTTATAAGCCCAGTTTAGTTCTGAATCCTGATTCTTTAGTGTTGTTCTAGTCCTAATTTAGTCCTGATGTAGTTCAGATTCATTTTGGTGTGGTGCCTGTGTACCCTCACTGCAGCGCCACTCACCTTGCAGCCCTCACAGGCATGTACACCATAGTGGAAACCAGAAGCCTTGTCACCACAGACCTTACACTCCACACTGATACCGGACCCTGCTCCGTCCTCTTTGCCCAGGCGCAGCTGCTCGGACAGAGACGGTGAGGACGTATGAGACAAATCTGCAAAAAACAAAAATATTGACGTAAAATGTTCATCATATTTTAAATAATTAATTCCAGATTTATGGCAAACATTGTAACACAACATTATATTATTTACCTACAACCTAAACCCAGGTAATCATATGTGTTTATTTAATGTTTTAGCATTCATTTGTAACTAGAAATATTAAGCATTTAGGCTATTTGCTTTTCAGTTCGTTAAAACTTGTTAAAAGCTTTGACTAAAGCAGATTAATGTCTATATGACCTCAATAATAATGTGGGTGGTAAAAATAAACCCTTTTATGGGGGTCACCATCCTGAAATGAGCCAAGTACAAAGGTTAAAGGAGACCTTGTGGGCACAGTGACATTCCAGAGGACACAACCGCACAGGAAAACTTAACATGCTACAGCATAAATTAAACTTTCAAAGTTTTAAAAACGTTAAGCAGGTTTACCTGTGTAGCTGGATGCTGCACTGATGACAGGTCTGCTCCGTTCACTCTCCTGATCAGGCGATGACTCCTCCTCCTCCTCTCTCGTCTTGTGGTCCTCTTTGTGGCCTTTACCTGCACTATCTTCCTCATCCTCACTGTCTCTGGCCTTCAGCTCAGACATGCTGTTACCGCCGGAGCTGTCAGAGCCCCTGGACTCTCCCTCTGTCCCGGACCACCTCACATCAGGTGTATCCTGAGGCGACTGAGGCTCAGAGAAGCCATTTATTCTGGGCTGCTCTGAAGCAGCCTGCTTGCACCCCTCCATGGCTCCTTTATGAAGCTCACTCTATGCCTCTCCTCCTGTCACGTAGTCATCATCACGCCACTGAGAGAGAAATAAGAAAAAAGTATTTATGACCATAAGTCTTTGTTGGGCTGGCATTTACAATGACTAAAGTCTAATCTTACTGTCAAACTCAGCTGAACACTGAAAGTCCATTGGTAGACACAGAATAGTTGCCTAGCAAAGAAAAGACTAAAGTGTTTGGTCTGAACATTTGAGATAGATTAGCTCAAAGCGCCAAATTTTGGAGCCAGGAGACATCTGTTATTATTGTTTGCCTCAGTTCATGGCAGGGTGCACATTGTACTGAGTGGATGCGTAAAGGGGACAGGGTGCATGCACTATGTACACACTGAGCTCTGCCTGTGTGGGGGAGTGGGTCAAAAAGGAGGGGGGGCTACATTTTTCTCGGGTCCCCTAGTGGATTAATCTGCACATGCATGTAGCCTGACAAACAACCACTGTGCTTTACTACCTCACATAAATGCAGAGCTCACCCATTCATAATGAAAGCAGCGAAGATCCATGTCAATTTATAATATAAGAAATTAAAATTGAAGTGAAGTTCACAGAACCAAATAGATCAATGTAGTATTCATTATACAAAAAATCAGAACATGTCATGTCACCAAAATCACATGATTGTTTCAATATAAAATATGCTTTACTCCACAGAAGTCAAAGTTTTAGTTTTAAGTAGATTTCTTATGAAAACAGTAAGCATAAGAGACTGTTAGGACTTGTATAGTGCAGCCAACCTGTCACACTGGTTCTCAGAAATATCTGCGAAAGTGTCTGTGAATTATATGGGCATAAGAGTAACGTGATACGTGCATTTCGGCACTGACAGTAGGGCAAAGCTATACCCATGTCCGCTGAAAGTTCGTCTCTGAGATGCGACAAAAGGAAATGTAAATACATAATCTATCTTAATAACAGTGTCAGATTCTCATCGAGTCGGCACGGTTAGCTGAGTTAGCTGGTTAGCACTAACCTTGGAGAGTACTAGTAGCCGCTGTTAGCGTGGCTGACCCACATTCCCGAGTGTGCCTTTAAATAACGCTAGCTGGCTGGCCAACTAGGCTTACCTCTGTCAATACTGCTGCGACTTCCGTGAGCTTTCAACTGAGAGGAAAGCGTCCAAAGGGTGACAGAATCAGAGAAAACTATCTCCGGCGTGGTCCCCGATCAATACGCTGCTGACAAGTTGTTAGAAGTCTCCAGAGCAGGAGCGAGTTAGCCCGCAGCGGCTAACACCAGTATGCTAACTCCAACTCACATAGAAAAAGGCCATTGTGTAACTGCAGAGTTGACAAATGTAATCAGGAGAAAGACACTTGAGTTGGCAGCCATACCACACGCAGTTAAGTAGACTTATTACTGATAATCCTTCTCCGAGTTTCCCTTGTTGTTCCCAGCTTTGCTTTGCTTTGGCTGGCTCCCCCTCCCTGCCCTGTCACATGCCAGGACCATGGACATAGCGCCCCCTCTCTCCTGTCTCTCCGACGCACACGTACGCACACACGGCCCTCTGTGGAGCCTGCACACTGCTTTGGCCTCAGTCAAGGGCCCTCTGCAACTATTATGTACACTATTTGTATCTTTAATGTGTAACGTGAGCATTTACTGATAGCAAACAGCTAAATATGCTATTGAGCATTCACAGCAAGAGATATCATATTTATGATTGATATCTCCTGACCATTTAGAATGAAATTACAAAAGGGAAAGACTTACAAAAAAAATTCTTAATAGGCCAATTATGAGTACAGCTGCAACTTAACAAGCTGCATCATTATTACTTGTCTTAATCAAGCAAATATATATTTAAATATGTGAAAAATCAGGACCTAGGCCTTTTGAAATGACTAAATATCTTCAGTTTCTTTAGGTAAGCATTGAATTAGTCAAATGGAATGTTTGTGCAAAGCCTACGTGGCTCATTTGTACTAATCTTGAAACTATAAAGTAGTGGTAAGCACCCCAGTCTGCCATATGATATTAACAGCATTTAAATAACTAGTCTATTAGACAAAGTTAGTCTAATGCTACTAAAGACTAACTAGCAGAATCTGAGTAAGAACAAAACCATATGACATAACAAGTATATAACAGGTTTATTTACAATGGTAGCGCCAAAAGAAAAAGGAAGTTGAGGCATTTCTGTCCGTCTTTCTCTCTTTCCTGTTGTTACTGGAGTCACTCTGTGACACTGAATACTCAATTGCCTTAGTAAGTCAAAAGTCATGTACACTTCCAAAAAAACAACAAATTAACATCATCTTACAATTAAAAAGTACCATGTGACATTAAACTTATTTAGGACGTCTTTGTAACAGATGCTAGATAATGTGCAGTTTTTGTCAAAGCATTAGTTGAAATGTAAACATTATACATATATATGGCAGGTTCTTTTGACAGGTGAGGTCAGTAAATTAATCATTACCAAAAACTTCTAGCATGTGTGAGGACAGAACTGTGCAAAACTCTTAGGCAAATTTTCATGAAATAATGAATGGTTCTTTTAGTCCCTCAATTTAGTATCTTCAGTCATATCTCAAAATGCTACCTTCTTTAAACATTCTCCACAACTTTACTTTTGCATAGCTCTGTACATTTCTCAAAACTAGAAGGATAATAATTCAAGGGATGTCCATGTCCCCGTTTGAAGTGTGAGAGTGGCGCTTCTCTAAATCACAAGTGTTCTCCACATTTTCTTTGCCTTCGTCATCTCTCTCATCCGACCCAGACCTTGCCCTCAAGCGCAGACCCGGGTCCCTCTGTGATGGGATTTGGAAAGTGGAAAAAGAGCTTCCCAGTGATGGTCGTTTTTCTGTAACAAAACATCAATAAATGCAAGTTATTTAGGTTTATCTAAACAAAAGACATTCACAGCAACAAGTATTAATATTTTATTAAGGGTTGGCCCTTGAGATGCATCATCTCTTTCAAGTGAAGTGCAAAAGCAGAAGTAGTTACATAACCTAAACAGTGTACTGTAGGCATAGTAGATCAGTTAATTAAATAATTAACTGATATTCTAGAATAATTACACAATCTACTTTTACTGCTGCAACACTATAGCAAGTTGAAACTTTAATATTATACAAAATGTCTATTAAATATAATTCTATGCTCTTTTAGTTCAAAACACCAGCAAATGAGTTATATTGATTTGTCAAGGTCTGGTTGTGTGTCAACCCTTTGGAGTTGTGTTGCTGTGGTGGAAAACACTGGGTTGAAATGAGGCTCTGGTCTATTTGCTCTATGTCATTCCCCTCACCCACTGCCTCCTCTTTATCTTGAGTTATAAAAGGTCAAAGCCCCAGTATGCACACATGCATTTTCATAAAACAACATAGACATGACCCCTACGAAAAACTTGTGGTTTGTTTTTTTATGTAAGAGATCACACCCACTTACCCCCTGGCCCAATTGGTCTCATCAATCGGTTCATCTGTACATTCCAGTGTTTCACATTTGTGCTTGCCTGACGAAGTTTTCGCTGAGCGGCCTGTTACACATGCATTTACATAATTACATTTTCTGACAAATAGAACAAAAATATGCACATATGCAATAATATAATATAAATTTATTTATTTTAAAAACTGTATTTTTAACTAAGAGTTTCTAACAATGAGATTATTTTTAATAAAATTCTCCTGAATGATGAATATCTTCCCAAGTGGGAAATACTCCGAGAAAATGTTATGTTTCTGATAATTACATGAACAGTCACCTTGCACTTATTACATATTATCTAGTTCCTTACCACCACATCCTGGTCAACGCGATGGCGGTTAGCGCGGACCTCCTCCAGTTGTCTCTGTGCCTCCTCTAAAGCACGGGACTTGGCCTCCATCTCCTGTTTGAGCTCCTGCTTTTCCCTCTGAGTCTTTAGGATGTACTCCTCCTGCTCCTCCTGCAGAGCCATCAATGCCTTCATCTTCTCCTCTTCCTCAGCAAGAAGTCTGCACACAACAGTCACAAATGCATTCATGCAGTATTTTTTTAAATTTCCGTGTCTTTCTTCAAGTCGTAAATTTAAGTTTTATTTTGATGGGGCTGATCACATCTTTTTCTACATCTTGTTATAATTTTGTACCAAACTACATTTGATTAGATTTGAACCAGAAGTCCTCCTTAGTGTTTTCTATTCTCTCTGCTTAGCAACAAAGACACATTTTCCTGTTCCTAGATTCTAGTTCCTAGTAAAACTACTGTCAGTGTAATTTCAGAGCTCAAAATCCACAACAGCCGACTTACAAATCCTTATTCTACATTTGTACAGGTAAACATTGACAAGTGCAAGAACAAATCAATTTGGGGGTGTTCAGGACACTGGAGAGACACACAGTAAGTAACAGATGACAGTATTTAAAACTTCCTCTGCTGGGGCTCAACTTCCTCAGGAACATAATGTAACATGAGCTCTTTTTAGTGACTACAGTAAATGTGCTATTAGCTGCACATAAAGACAAGTCCCTCTTACAACCAGTGAGACATTAATTACTGACAACTGACCAATGCATGAATTTCTGACAGATTTTGTGGACAGTACCCGGCTTGAGCATAGCGAAAAGCCTCTTCGTCCAGTCGAGCTTTGATTTCCTGTTGTAGTGCCTCTTCCAATCGTCTCTGCATCTCCTCCAGTTCCTGAATCCTCTTCCTCTGTCTTTCTGCCTCCTCTTCCTTCAGAGCCATCTCAGCCTGCATGCTCACTCTGGCCTACAGTCACAGAATAGTTGATGTTGAAATTTGTTTTATAATATGTAAAATGACTTTAAAACACTGACTAAATTGTTGTGTATTAGTGTTTAATAAATTGTTGGGGTTGATTTGTAGCATGAAAGTTGTAAAATGAATAACTCAGTGTAAAGTGCTCTTGAAAGGCCGACATAAAGCCAATGCATTATTATTGTATAAGGTAAATTAAAACATAAAGGCTCTATATGCCACTGTGAAATGGACAAACATAAAACAGAATTCCAAAGTGTAGCCTCTTAGCTGTTTCCCCTTGTTGCATTACCCCCACCTGGTCTTACCTCCTCTGCCTCCTTGAGCTGCACCTCCAGGGCCCTCTGCAGCTGCTCATGCTGCTGTCTCCTTCTCAGCTCATCCTGCTCCAGCAGCTCCTGTGCTTGTTTCTGAGCCTCCTTTAGCAGCTCCAGTTCAGCCAGCTTCCTCTCGCGCTCCTCCTGCAGTGCTCTGAGCCTCTGTAGCTCCTCCTCTTTGGACTGTCTCCTCTTCTCTCGCTGTTCACGCTGCTCACGACGCTTAAGCTTCAGGTCTTTGTGAAGGGACTTCTTACCCTCCACATCTAATCGAATGGCCGTTTGAATAGCTGCAGACACAAACTGTATTTTAGGGTCTTAAATTTAGATTAGAAAGACTTCCTTTCTGTGGTAAAGGACCACCAAAGGCACAAAGAATTAGTGATTTTTTTGTCAGGCAGGAGAGTTTGTTTACCTCTTTCACATGTTTCAGCTACTTTCTGCAGCCTTCCACAAAAGTGTCATGTGCTGGTGTAGTGACGTGTCTTGTAGGTTACTTACATGGTTTTGTCAGACAGCATGGGAAGCTTTCATCACTACTGTTTGACGCAATTGTGATGAGGGAGCACATTGTTGCACACATGGGATGCAGACCTGGAGAAAGCATAAGACAAGCTTCCCCTACTGCCTGGCAAAACCATGTAAGAAGCCTACAAGATACGACGTCACTACACCAGCATCACACTTCTGAGGAAGGCTACAGGAAGTAACTGAAACTCTCCTTTCTGACACCAATGTCACAATCAGCAATTGTGTTCTGCTACCCAACATTGTATGTATTCTGTTTTATTGAGATTTTCCCTCTGCCTTCTTACCTGTGGTCCACTCCTGTCGCTGTTTGGTGTCTGAGGCACTCATTTCATAAGTTTTAGAGATAGTTTTAAGACAAAACATACACCTCTTTCCATCTCGGTCAGGAAGTGCCTGAGATAAAAAAAATAAATAAAACATTTATAACAACAACATTAAAACTTCTTTTTTTTTGTCTAACTGACCGCCACCAGCAACTGCCCCATTCCTAATGGCAGGCAAAGTAACAACATCTCCAAGTGATGTGTCAACCACTAAGTCGTGAGGTCTGTGGAAAGTCTGCTAATGTTTGAGCAATAAATACACTTGTAATGCTATAAATAAATTGAATTGTTAATTCACAGCATCTACATCTATTCAGCTTTCCAAACTGAAATGACATTAATGCAACACAATGATATGTTTAAAACATTTAGAGACACAAATCACATGAGTAAGCATGACATAGCAGACTTTGTTGAGTAGTACACAACTTTAATCAGACCTTATAAGATCTTCTGATTGTGTTTGAATACTAATAATTGACTGAGGGTTCAATATACAAAAAAATAAACACTGTTGTAACAGGCACACATTCTGTTCCCAAGCATCAGTTTTCATCTTAAAAAGACAGAAGAAATTTTGAGGTTAATATAATTCTAAAAAGAATATTGAAAAAGGGTGTTTCAGTGACAATTATAATTATAATATGTAGTTATATGATAAGCATAAAAATGTTTTGTGAGAAAGGTATCACACATATTAAATGCACTTAAATGAACCAAAATAAACACTGATCTGATATCATATATAGTACATATATTAAACCCCAAATGTAAAGAAAAACACAACTGGCTGTGTTAAAGTTGCTAACCTCCACACAGCAGTTCCCATCCAGAGCTATGTTGCCTAGACAGTCTTTGCGGTCCTCCCCGGTGTAGTAGCACAAGACACTGGGCCTCAGAGTGAACCAGCGCTCCTTCCAGTTTCTCCTCAGCTGCCCTTTCTTCCATAGATAACCCTGAGAGTCAGTCAAATGAAGCATGACTCACTCAAAACACAAACCTCAGCAGTCACAACATTATCTGGATTCCTACCTCCTTCAGAACATCGCCGACTATTTCCCGGTAAACCTCCTCGATGGCCATGCTGACAATGGCCTTATCCACTCCTCGTGTTATCTTCCCTGAATTCATCAGCTCCAGAAACACCCAAACAGTGATGCCATTCTGCTGCATTGCATCATGGGAGAAGAAGTCCTCCAGGTCCACACAGTTGAACTCAATGCTCATGGCTGCACAGATTTTTTTGAGGAGGTATTCAACCTAAGAAAGCACATAGACATAATAACATATTGATAACATATAACATATTTATTACTCAGCAACTATTGAACTCATTTTGAGGAGTTTGTTAAATTGTTTATTATTTATTATTGCATATTGTAGAACACAGATAACTATATCGGGAAGTTTCAAAGCAAACTGCTAAGCTTTCAAAGAATCATATTATGTGTTTGCACTGTGATTGTAATATCCAAAATGTATCATCCTGAAAGTAACTCTTTAGAAGTGAAATCTTTGTGTATTTTTTTGTTACACAATTAAATACACAATAATATAATATTGTGTGACCACCATAACCCAAATGTGAATTGTTTACCAAAAGAAAACAGAACACAAATTATACAGGTCTTCTCTCTACCTTAAAAATTTGGCAGTAACTGTAAGAAGAAAAAAACTCACAACAGGAAACCAAAATGAGCATTTGCAAGTGAGAAACAAGCCCACAGAACTGCATGAAAAGAGCACAGTGTTCCACAGCGGCAAGAAACAGGGTGTCAATGGTTACGAGATCCAGCTCCATTTTGTGGCCACAGATTAAGACTTAAGATTCAAAACAGACTTTACATTTGAGTTTAAGTGTAAATGAGCTGAAAGTGATTCATTTTTTAGAGAAAAGGTAGCTCTTTCAAAATTGTCATACACCACAGTGCAGGGCTGCAAGAACAACTGCAATTGAATTGATAGTTATTAAGCAATTAGGTTAATCTGTAAACAAATTTTAAAATATCCTGTTTTATGTGTAAAACTTGCTAATCTTGTAGTTTAGATCTCATTGATTGATTGGTTCTTAAATTTATTTTGCAGTTCATACTTCAGTCTTGTAAAATGTAATGTTTTAGGATCTTTAAAATGTGCATTCTGGACAAAATATATATAGGGGAGTCACCTTCAAGTGCATTACAGCCAAATAATTGTATATACCTCATCTGCGACCATCACCAGAGGATACTTGTCCTCTGACAGGAAGTTGAAGAGGCACCAGAGTCTGAAAGCGTCTCTCTCTGGTAAGAGGGTGTCACTGGCTCTGTCCGGCTGGTAGTTCTTCTTTGCTGTCAGGGTCCAACAGAGCTCATCCACGTTTTCCTTTTCAAATGAGCCTTCAACAACCTATGACGGAGAATTAAATCTTTAAAAAAATATCGTAGACATATTTTAAAAATAAGATAAAAACACTGCTGACTTGAGGAGCTCATAAAATGACTACTAATATACATTGTATTTTTATATAACATGCTTAAAGCTAAATGTTATTCTTTTGAATGGAGTAGGTTTGCCAGTCCTTTTAGGTGCTTTGAAATACATTTGTTATCTATTATAAATATAAATAAAATGTATTACAGGTGAGGTACTCAATCTGAATATGTAACGGTTTAACAGTACATAATACAGAAATATTTCAAATAGATATGTATAAAAATTTTAACTGAAGTTAAAGAAGCTCTCTCCCACACCTTGTCGAGGATGTATTTGTTGAGGTAAGGCATATACCCCTGACTAGACACTGGCCCATCGTCATCATCTCTGAAGTGCTCCTCTAAAGCTACTGGGTCGTGTGGAATGGCCAGCACTGTGCACAGATTATGGGACAACACCTGCAAGATAACAATGTGCAAGGCACACATATTCATAACCATATCACATTTGCAACAGATGAGGTTGAAGGACAATTTGCTAAAATAAGACATGTCACAACAGAAATAAAGAAGAAAATACTATTTGCTGAGTATACCATCCACAGATTAAATAGCTTCCTCCTCAAAATGAGCAAAGTTGACTTAGTTATGTTGAAGTGCCCTGCCTAGTATACAAATATATAAGTATCATAAGTCTTTTATAGAGCATTGAAATATAGAAAGGTAGAAACTGTTTGCAAAGAACTTTCACAAATTTGACACTGAAAATGAAGAGAGCAAGTAAAAGTATATGACATGACTGGACAACAGTTTCTTATGTGGTCTATTTTATTATTGCACTGTAGAATAAGAAGCCTTGCATTTTGAATTTATGTTTACCATCTAAGAGGGAACACTGATGATTTAAAAGATTACATTTTTTTCCTGATAACATTTACTTTGGCCTCAATATCGGCTGTACATAATCAGACGCGTTGCCTCCTCGTGTTGAGCCATAACCACATCCTGTCTCTTGACAACGATGCACATCTGTCACTTCTGAGGTACATGCAAACTTATTTTCGAATTGTTCCTGAGCATGTTTGCTAACTCTCGGCCTTCACTGGGGCAGCATGCATAAGGGGGATAAGCTTTGTCATGGGTCTGGTCTGCGAAAAGTGAAGGTGGCTGGTATGAGGTCTGAGCAACAATAAGTAGAAGTGACATAATCATGAGTCCCCACACAATACAGTGGCACCATTGAAAGCCATTATCAGCATGTGTGTAAGCAGGGTATGGCCTCGTTGTGTGTAACAATGTCCTTTTACCATGCTGCTGAACACAGTCCTATCAACAGCTTCTTGTTTGCTCACAGTAAGAGCCATACGAGACTCAGCAATACAAGATGGTACATGGTGGCCCATTTGAATACACTGCTTTGGGGACATGAGGGCGCCCATTCACATCTACACTGAGGGCAAACTGTTACTCGCGTGCCCAGGCGAGACAGAGGTGCGTATTGTGTCCTCTCTCGCTTTCTATGGTCAGTATTACACGTACAATATAGGAAGAAATGTGTTCCCTGTTGTTGAGTGAGTGGTTTGTACACTTTCACATAGGAAATCAAACTGCAAATGACTGCAAATGCCTTAAAATTTTAGTTTTTAGTCATAGGAGTTTTTACATCACAATCACAGTTCCCATAAAGTGGAAGGAATACAGAATAGATAAGATTAAATATACTATATATAGATAAACAGATATTTTACCTACCTTAAGTTGAGATTTGGACACCTTGCCACTCTTCTCCAGGTCAAGGGCAGTGAAACCATACCAGATGGACTTGAGCAGCTCTGAACGCAGGTCCATGGCGCTTGTCTTGTGCCCAACTCTCCACTGTCACAGCGAGGGCCCTGAGTGACAGCCACACACCCACAATACTACACTGCTGCTGGAGCAAAAGGCTGCGCCATTTACAGCAACACCTAGTGGACAAAGAGGACAAAGCACAAGGTGGCACTGTAGGTTGCAGTTATTCACATTGTGGTTATTAGTCAAAAATGTGCACACCTATTTTTGTGTGAAATATATACATATATACATGGGCCATGTTGGAATACAGAACAAAAGTGTAATAGTAAACTACGGATAAAACTCTGTCAAAGTAATGGTCTCTAGTCAGTTAGTCCGAGTTAGATTGGTTCCACTGTTAATTCTAGGAATTTTGTCATATTTGTTTAGCCTAAATTGTGTTTGTTATAAAATACAGAAAATATACAAGCAATGATAGCTGTGATTTATCCACATCATTTGTATGATTTAATTAAATTTTTATTGTGTTTCTTTTGTTTAAGATGGATATAAAATAATGGTGTTACATACATCAATGTGAATGAAAAGGAGCAGAAAGAAGTATAAACTTATAATAGATGCCCCCATCATCAACATAAAGTTTACAGCATCTATTAGCTACTGTTTCAATACAGGGACCTAGTGTGACCTCTTCAAGGACACTCTCCAATTCTGGTAAGCAAGGCGCTTCTCCCAGACCAACACATTCATGATGGCAATTGGCAGTCTACAAGATTCAAACGTTTTTATTCATAAACTGGTGATTTGAAAAATATGGCGGGAGTAAATATTTTTATCTAAGTAGTAGTAGCCTATTAATAAGCACATTCAATCAGCAAAAGACGATTCTGTTTGCCTTACTTTACAGTACTGGCATTAACTTCGAAAATATGAAACCAAGGACCTTAATACATCCAAGGATAAATTAATCTGATGAAGGGGTTGTGGTCGCGGCAAAATCCTCACTGTCACGTGGTACGCTACTTTTCGCGTCGTTGCCATAGAGTTGTTTATTCAACTCGGCTCCTGATTGGCTGAGAGCAACTCTTTCCACCAATCGCAAAACGCGCTTTTTACAAACTTCTGCAAGTCCAGGAAGTTGACGGGGCGCTGTGCTGCTCTGCGTTCAGTAACAACCGGGGAGCTTTAAATGTCCACAAACCTCAATACAGTAACAAGGTTTGGAAGTTCTTTCCCCACACAACTAATCTGTTTTACAGCGGATATCATAACCGAGTCGTATGCGCTTCAAAGCTTGTATTTAGCCGTTACATGTTGGTTTTGCTAACCTTTTGCATCTATTTATTTGTTTTGTGTGCCTTGCTTTTCTTTGTACCGTAGTCCGTACGCTCTCTGTATTGCTGCTTTTTATATGTGTACAAAAACTGTGGTTTACCTGTTGTTTTGTGTTGGTGTAAGTTCGGACTGAATATATTGCTGTTGCTTTTGTGTTTTTTCTCAGTTTTCTACGTGTTTGAACTGTGATCTATCATTTGCACATCAAAGATTCTCACCAAAATCCCTGACCTCTTGTTCTACAACATGGACCCCTCTTCTGTGCTTCGACAACAAAGTCAGAACACAATCCTGAGGTGAGTGCCTATCATTGCTATAAGGACTATTTGTGTGCATTATTTGATAATCAAATGTGTATTGTTAATGTCTTTTTTCAGGACAATAAATGAACAAAATAAAGTGGCAGCAGAACCAAAATTCTCCAAATCTTTGCCCATGCACTCATTGCAGCATAATCTAGAAGATCAAGGTTTAGGAAGGTCAGGACAGGTTCGTCCACCTCATCCACGCCCAACTGGGAGCAGGCTCCCAGTACTCGCGAAGTCACTTCATCTTCAGATTCCAAATGAGTTTGCTCAATCCCACTGTAAATGGGATGCCAAACCCCTGTCTGTAAGTATAAAATAAACACATGCACTCCATTTATACAAATACTTCATAGAAGAGTGTCACGAGTTTCAAATTCAAATTTTTCAATTGCCTTAATATTTTTTTTAACAGGGGAAGGCAAAAACAAAAAAGCCATGCACCAGGCCAGTACCATTCAACTTGTCCCAGCCAAAAGCCTCAAGATTGCCATCAGAAAATCATCCACCTAATATAATTCATCCAACACGAAACTCTAAGCTTAACAAAAATGTCAGTTCTTGTCAGTTTACAACAACAAACAGAAACTTTAAACATTCAGCTACCTTAAAAGAAAATGTTAAGTCCACAAAGATGACAGAAAATTCATCACAGCTGCTGGGAAAATCAAGACCACTTCACTCTCACAAGACCTCAACTAGTTTGTCCAAACATGTGTCATTTCCACTGAACTCTAATGAGAACAGTGCTACTGCCTCTGAACAACCGGCTTCTGCTGCTGAGGCCTGTTCACATAATATGAACTTGCTCAGTCTAAAAGACACATCCAGCATTTTAAAAGGTAAGTTCTTATGACAGTACTTTTACTTCATTTCATATCAATTGTCAGTTCTTGCTTATGGTATCTGTAATGTATATTTTTGAAGAAGGTGACAAAGTGGACAATTTCCAGCATGATCAAACAACTTTGCTTAGCATTCTTTGCAATGAGGAAATGTCATCGGCTGTGACCCCACAGTCCAAACCATACAACTATCTGGTTAGTTTTGGCTTATTAGGTTTTCTTCAAAATGGAAAAGTTGAAATCTTATGTTGCTGTTTTATTGCAGCCGCAGCGTGTATCTGTAATGAAGAGTCGCCAAAAAGCTGAATCCAATCCAGGTTACAACATTTATATATGCATACATTGCTTTTGTATACTTGTATGCTATACTTTCAGATTAAATGTACACTGTAAATTCAAGGTATGCTTATACTCATTTTTACAGGTTCCATGAAATCAGCACAATATTCCCCAGACCACGGAGCTTTGCAGAGCATCCTAAAGAACGAAGGAGTAAAGGCTAGGACTCCATCAGACACAGTATGTACAAACTGTGGCACTGAATGATTATTGTCTTTGAAACCCAGTGGACTTTTTTATATTTGTTTTGGCAGCCCATGAGAGTGCCAGTTAAAAAGAATGGTGTTGATACTAAAACGGGACTCTCTGGTAAGAAAGGTGACTCTTGATTCTCACAGTGATCATTCAGACTGTGGAATGATGTTATGTTCTCTTTAAAGGTACATCTGTGAAAATGGTGCAGTTTTCTCCGGATGCTGCTGCTCTTCAGAGTATCCTACAGAATGAAGGTGTGAGAGCTGTGGGCCCTGATGGTGCTGCTCCAAGAAACTCTCTGTGTCCAACAGGCAGAAACACATCAATATACATGGTAGATATTCTCCTTCTTTTTATTCTAAATTTCTAAATTTTTACTTTAGTTTGTGACTTGTTTTTCTAATATTTGCTGTTATTATTACTCTGTTATTAATCTTCTAAAGGCTCAGAGAGTGCCTGTCAGGAAAAATTTTGCAGAGCCAAATGCACCACTAATGGGTAAGTTGTAGCTTTCTCTTCATGTGCTCTTAATTGCACAAAACCTTTATTTTACTCAAGTATCATGTTTTTTTTTTTTGTTTTTTTTTCAGTGACAGCCTTCAAACAGACTCCTGGTCAGAAATGGACCCCACAGAGAGTGGTTAGGCACCAGCCCACGTCCGCTATGGTGAGTTCCTCACTTTAGCACAGCACAGTAGGAAATGCACATTATTATTTTGGTTTCTAATTCAATCATTTCCTGAACTAAGTATTGTGTGTATTACAGAAGTGGCATACATCATCACAGCAGTCTCCATATACCACTACTCCAGGATTAAGGGGCTGTAAGGCAAACCTTTGCACAAAACAGGAGGTACATAAAGAAAGATTAATCCTGTGAAGGATTAAAAGGAAAATATTTAAGTTCATATGCAGGTTAGATTTAGCCTGATTCATCAGCCGGTAATAACATCTTTCCCCTTGATGAAATTCACTAAACATTCTCTTTATTCCGGCTTTAAATCCTCGATCTTGGGAATCGTTGACAACACTGAATATATGGCTCTTCGCTGATTGGCTGGTGCCCGAACTTGCACTACTGGGGTTTTTGCGAACAGTCTAGTGTATTTTGATTCCTGACCTAGTTGCTGGAGAGAAATTAAATTTAGCAGAGGCACTAGGTGGCGCCAGCCTGGCTAGGTTAGATTGCCCATCTCAATAAAACATAGTTAATGTCATATTTAAGATTTTACAGAAAAAAAATCTTGGCTAGTTTTTAAACATTGGTAAAATTTATCATTTTGGAAATGAACAGCCAAACCTCACATTTTAATGTCAACAATGGCCAAAACCAGTCTCATGTCCATAGTTATCATTAGACTAATAGATGTAAATGACAACAACTTTTTTTTATGAAGGTTTGAACTGCCAGCATAAAGTGTAATTGTCCCTGCATTTTCAATGGAATTTGCAGGGTTTATGACATATATAGGTATTTAGTTTAAAAACACAGTGCTAGTTCCTGTATTTACACCAATCCAGTTTAATTAGAAAACATGAAGACCCATCATATGCACTTTAAAACACTTCCTTCTATAGTATAGATTGGAAACATGGCTACATGTGTGATTACATTTTGTTTGTTTTTTCAGGAGGTTGTTCAGAAATTGTTTGTTGAAGATGAACAGACCACAGATGAAGTTACAGTCCCTTCAACAGAGTCACTTCAAGACCTGGCAAGCGTGGGTCTAATGTGTACTATATAGGAATTTATATGGCACTGGGAATATGTATTTAATCCCATCAACACTATTTAAAGCAATTTGTATGGTTTAGAATTGATACAGCAGATTGGATTGTATTTTGAGTTTGCGCATAAACATACCAAACAACTGTTTATTCGATTGTAACGTTCTTTGTTTCTCTTTATGTACTTTCAGTGTAAAGAAAAAATGCACAGCCCTGTCAAAAATGAGGAAAAGGAAGATGGTTCAATGAAGGAAGATGAACGGGTTGAGGGACCATTTTTTCAAGCTCCAGAGCGAGAGTCAGTCATTTTCTTTTCTACAGGAAAAAAATTGTTCAGAGACCCTTGCTTTAAGAAACTGGAGACAACAGGCCATAAACAGCACGGCCCTGAGGAGGCACTACCTGTGCTACTACAAAGCTGTCACAGTCAGACTGTAACCAAAGGTTAATACATTTTTCTACACTACACTATTTTTAAGCATAATTTGTTTCTTTAGCAGCTCTTTATGCTGTTACAGATCTCCTGACTCTGAAGACTGGTGTTATGAATCCAGCTGTGGCCATGCTGCGAAAGTGCCTCCCTCCTTTAGAAGAGCTGAGGTTGGATGAGGAGGTGGCCACCTACACCTCTGTGTCTGTCCCGACCGTGTCTGGGTTCCACGCCCCACGGCCCCGCTGTGGAAATCCTTTGGCCACACTACTGCACTTTGAAGAATCCACTGTAAGTTTACGTACACCTTTTACATTTGTATTTAAATAGAAAGATACTGTAATAACAATGAGTGTTTATACTTTAGGAATTGTCTGTTTGGAATATTGTTTTATCTTAGCCATGTATCTTCTGTAAAAGCTGCCAACAAAGTGAAGTCTGGATCAAACTTTACTTAATTTATTTAAATAATATTACACACAGCATACATGAAGGAGTGTCCAAAATCAAGTAGCTGTTATCTATCTAAAACTACACTATCTTACAAAAAATACTAAAGGCATGCTTCTTCTGTGTATTTTGTTTTTCAGAGATTTGTACCCATCTGTCCTGACCTGTCACAAGACTCCCATCACGAGAGGTGATTGCACCAGTATGTTGTGGTGTATTGCTGATAATATGTAAAAGTTTTTTCACTGATGGACTGTTTCACTGGACATTAAAACTGAATAAATTCAAGCAATGGAAAATGCCATAATGCCAGATGCCAGTCCTCTAGATACAAATACAGACCTAATACATTTTGAAGCTAGACCTCGGGGACAATAAAATCTGTATTCATGATTTTAAGCCATATGGCAATTATTGTGAGAAACTGGAACTTTCTCTGTCTCTGCAACATACGTCCAGGGAACACTACTGAAGTCTGTTGTTATTTTTACAAAATCTTTTTACGTCATGTATATTTAGATTTCAAGAAAATAAAAAATATGCAATATGATGACTGAACATTTCATGAAGAGCTAGGATCAGTGTTAAGGTCAAAATGTAGATGAATAGGGTGTATTTTAAAGCTAAGCTATTATAAAGCATAAAATGAAATAAATGTTGTTACTAAATATAGTGTTTATAATAAATGTTTATATGGAGATCATTTGGCTATTTTTATTCTATTCAAATGTACTAACGTAACAGTTTTGAATCAAGTGTTTACATTTTTGACACTAACTAAGACTGACTTCAATAGATATGTATGGGTTACACTGTTGACCCATACAGAGGGTCACAGTACCAAGTATTATTTCACTCTAACTCATACAACATGCACTGTTAAATCTGTTGCACAGTTCATTCAAATTGTTAAGACCAGGCAACCCATTAATAGCATTTATCAGTGTAAAGTGTATTTTCATCACTGATATTTAAAAAATAATGGTGTACTTTCTATCTTATCCAGTCTAATCAATACTTTTGTCTAAATTGAATATTGGTTCTAATGTTTTCCTAATATAATATATACTGTAAAGGGGCAGTATGTAACTTTTCTGGTGGATGGTCCACTACTAGCTTCTGGAGATGTACTTGGTTTGTCAGGAATGTTCCATTAGGCATTGACAATATTTTGCATTTATTTTTTTTCCTATACGTTTTTATTGCTCAAAAATACCTTGAACAACATAAATTCTTGCTGAGAGCAGGGTTACCTCTCCACAGATCTGACATGGTAGTGTTACCTGCTTGGCTCTATGGAGGTAAAAAAAAAAAAAAAAAGTTAAAGTGCACCGTTAAACTTTATTTAACCCAATAAACATGCACAAGGGCTATGATATGGCATTTCATGACTGTAATTTTTGTCTGTTTGCTGCTTGTGTCCAGTGCAGGTGGCTCTCTGGTCTGTGTATATTTAGTGGTCTGTAGTGGAGGGAGACAGTGGGAGGGGGCAACAGTCTATAAAGCCTTGTGCCTTCACTGCACTCTCCCTTGAGAACAGGGAGGAGGTGCCAGGACCTGCTTCTCCTTTTGTATTGTTTTGAACCTCAGTCTGTTCCTCTACCAGTGAAGACATGTCCACCACCACCACTCTCCCCACTGACCCCACCAAAATGGGGTTGGGTCGCTCAATCGCTGTGCTAACTTCTGGCGGTGATGCACAAGGTAAGATGTGACTAATGTCAGCTCAATCTGCATGACCATATGGAATGTACTTGCCAACAGTTCAAGCTACATTTTAGGAGATGTCAGATTTCATGCCAAGTTGATTACAAACTGCTGATAGCAGAGATGGACACAATTCATAGTGCCTTTTATTTTATTAGTACTAATATCAGTAAATACTTGTTTGTAGTCTACCACTATATTCAATAGTATGCTCAGAATATTTACATGTATTTGTTTCTGGTTCTTTGTTCATCTCATCCTGCAGTTGCACACCTGAAGTGAATTAGTGCATGAAGTATAACTGCCAAACTGCTCAACTTTTGCAGTTTTTTCCCTCTATTGAAATCGGGGACCAAGTGTACTCTTTTGTCAAGAGGTGCCCCCTTTGTAAATCTTTGGGGCTAATTTTAGAGACAGTGACCTTTTTGTGGTATGGGGGAAAAAGGGAAACGCCCACTCTTACAGCTGCTCTGTCTGAAACAGGAGCTGGGACAAGACGGACCTAATACAACACAACATCATCCCGTGGCCTTTCATGTGTCTGACCCCAGCATTAAGAAGGGACACAAGACATAGTGTGCTAATGTTCTGTCTATTTTTACAGGTTACATACTTAGAGATAATAAACACCTTCAAGAATGGATGTGATACAAAGCCAATGAGCTCTCTGATACAGACATAGCTTTTAGTTTTATTTTACTGCACAACAATAAGTGTGCAGTACATTCAGTTATTGTATTAAAATCTGAACTTCCATGACATACGAGACAAAATAATACAATGATACCTGAACAACCTTAACTGATTTGAATGTACATCAAAGAGTTTGTGGAGTTTTGATGGTTCATGACAGAAATTGAGAGGTGTGTGTTTGTGTTTTAGGTATGAATGCTGCAGTGAGGGCTACTGTCAGAGTTGGTCTCTACACTGGAGCTAAGGTCTTCTTTGTGCATGAGGTAAGCTGTGGCTTGACTATTACTTTACAGAACATTAGATATTGTATAAGCACTTATGTAAACTCTTCTTAATGTGCAGGGGTACCAGGGCCTGGTGGACGGTGGGGACCACATCAAGCAGGCAACATGGGAAAGTGTGTCTATGATGCTCCAACTGGTGAGTGAACTGGTCTATGTACTGGACAAGAATGTAATTTTAATTCACTCTAAAACATTCAAGTGTCTGTTCAGATATTTTGTTCTCAGTGGGCTTTAAGTGCAACAACCTTATTACATTTCCTTTCTCAAATCTAAAAAAGTTCATACTGAAGTAGACATACTTCAAATGCTGCTTTTGCCCCCTATGACTGCAGTTCTCTGCCATACCATGATAGACATTTCTTTCCATAATCATCTCAAATATCCAAAGACTCTTGGCAGTACAGCTGATCTGACACATGCACTAGCTTTGGGGCACTGTAATGTTAGGATATTATTTCAAAGTAATGACCTTCTCCACTGCATGATAAAAATGAAACTTTGTCATCAGAAAGTGCCTCTTGAACATATTAAGGTTCTTTGGATAATCTGCTTCTGTAAAATGAATCAACAAGTCAACATTATAAATAATATAATTTACATTTTGATAATATTTAGTTTTTACTCTCTTTAGGGTGGGACCGTGATTGGCAGTGCTCGCTGTAAAGATTTCCGTAGCAGAGACGGGCGTATGACTGCAGCATGTAACCTGGTGAAGCTAGGAATCACTAACTTGTGTGTGATCGGAGGAGATGGCAGTTTAACTGGAGCCAATCAGTTCAGGACCGAATGGAGCGGTCTGCTGAAAGACCTGGTCAATGCCGGTCTGAAAATTAATCAAATGCACAAAATACTACAAATTCATGAAGTCATCATTTATTTTATAGTTTGGTTTCTTTTGTGCAGGTAAGATCACAGAGGCCGAGGCCAAAAGGTCCTCGCACCTGAACATTGTGGGAATGGTGGGCTCCATAGATAATGACTTCTGTGGCACGGACATGACAATCGGCACTGATTCTGCCCTGCACCGCATCATCGAAGTGGTGGATGCCATAACCACCACTGCACAGAGGTCAGATTATATATAGTTTACAAATACCACATATTAAATGTGTTAAAATTACTGTAATCTATGCCTTACTTATGTTTTTCTTTTGCTTTCCCTAGCCATCAGAGGACATTTATTCTTGAAGTTATGGGAAGACATTGTGGGTAAATGCTTTTGGTCTATAGTGTTTTCCCTTCTACATCTGATTTTATATAGTATTATATGATAGAATTTACAGATTTTGTCTGTCTCTTTGCAGGTACTTGGCCCTGGTCACAGCTCTGGCTTGTGGTGCAGATTGGGTCTTTATCCCTGAAATGCCTCCAGATGAGGGCTGGGAGAACCATCTCTGTAGGAGACTGGCAGATGTAAGTGTGTGTTTTTTTATTTTGTATTTTTTTTATTCTTATCTCAATCTTTAGTCTCCAAAAACACTAAGTGATTGTAACTATCATTATATTTAGCAAAGAGCCAGAGGATCTCGTTTGAATGTCATCATTGTGGCTGAAGGGGCTATCAGCAGAGATGGTAAACCAATCACTTCTGAACAAATCAAAATGGTAAACTGCCCCTAGCTATCTGAGTAATAAATTAACCTGAAATTAAGTAAACATGTACTGTGTGTTTTTAAGCTTGTGACAGACAGGCTTGGCTTCGACACTCGCACCACAATACTGGGACATGTGCAAAGAGGTGGGACACCGTCTGCATTTGACAGGATCCTTGTAAGTAATTATAAACACTTAAAACACTGCAGGAATAAAGCTATACCTCAATATGTAGGGTAACTATTCTGTCTCCTCAGGGCAGTAGGATGGGTGTGGAGGCAGTAATGGCTCTGCTGGAGGCCACCCCTGACACCCCGGCTTGTGTGGTCAGTTTGTCTGGAAACCAGGCTGTCAGACTGCCTCTAATGGAGTGTGTGCAAGTGGTACGTGCTTAACTTTTGGATCCTCATGCTCTTTAAGGTAATATTTTGAGTAGCTGTAAAAATGTGCTGTCTTGTTTTAACTTTAAAGACCAAAGATGTAACAGCAGCGATGGCTGAGGGGAGATTTGATGAGGCCATCAAGCTTAGAGGAAAGTAAGTAACTTTTAATTTAGAAAACAATGAAGGCCACTGTAGTTCTCACAATAAGAAGTTCAATACATGGCTGAATATTTGTATAAGCAATCAAATCAAACACCACATTATACCATGCACACAATAACCCTAAAGCATGATAACAAAGCCTATTTTAAATAAAATAATATGAACTAACTTAAACTTTTCTTGCCAACTATCTCTCAATGTATATTTTGTTGTAGCTTATTTAGAAAGAACAAGTGTAAATGTGAGACCAATGTTTTTAAAACTGTATAGGAGTTTTGAGAATAACTGGAACACATACAAGCTCCTGGCTCACATCAATCCTCCAGATGTGAAGGTAGAAAATGAATACTTTAATCACTATAATTTATTCATGAATATTGTTTTTTGTTTGACAAACCCATTCCCTTGTTATGCAGAGCAATATCAATGTGGCCATACTGAATGTCGGAGCTCCCTGTGCCGGTATGAATGCTGCAGTGAGAGCTGCTGTCAGGATGGGCATCATTCAGGGACACAATATGTTGGCTGTTCACGATGGCTTTGATGGACTTGCTCATGGCCAGGTATTTTGTCTTTAAAGGTCATAATATGCATTAAACTGCATTTGACTCTTTGGCACCATATATCATATAGTGGAAACATTTGATGTACCTAAACAGCAGAAAACCACCTGAACATGCAGGATTTCTCAACCGTGCATCAATGATACAAAGCGCAATTTTAGATATGTTTGGGAATGTTTTGTATAAATTTAAATGGATCTGTGGGTCTATAGGAGTTTTTTTTGTTTGTTTGTTTGGGGTTTTTTTTGGCAGATTGAGCCCATTTGCTGGACTGGAGTGAGTGGCTGGACGGGAAAAGGAGGCTCAATGCTGGGCACAAAAAGGTAGAAAAACAAAACAAAAGCCATATTAATAAATAATAATTATTGATTTGTTTTATTCCTAGAACTCTACCAGGAAAATTATTTGAAGAAATTAGTTTGAATATTGCAAAATTCAACATCCATGCTCTAGTGATCATTGGAGGATTTGAGGTAATGCATTTGTCTCTTAATGGGATGGTTTAGTCTGTTTGTTACTACTGTCACACTATGGATTATCTCGATGACAATAACTGGGCAATATTACAATATTACAGCAATCCACAAGAAATTTATTAAATTATGCAGGTAAACTTGGTTGTTCTTAGTTTGATATCTCTCAAGTCTCTATTAGCAGCTCTAATCAGAAATTGTGAGACAAGTAGCAGTGAAATTGTGTTCTGCATTTTGAGTCATTAGTAAATGACCACTCCATTGATTTACAGTGTTCCTGGCAACAGGAAAAGTAGCAATGCCTTTTTTCTCTGTCGATTCTTCCAGTCACATAGTCTAGGGATTATCTGAAATTGATTTTTTTTTAGCAAATACTGATATCCAATGTTAGCTGCTGTGAACGATGACCAGTATTTGCTATTTGCTGTTTCTGATATTAAGCTTTTAAAAGCTATAGTACCAACCAAATTTATGCTAAGTTATAGTGAAGTTTACAAACTGACTAAAATTACAAATTAATAAAAAAACATATATATATATATAATAACATGTATTTGTCTAATTAACTCATTTAGTACACAGGCTCATAGACACCAGGGCAGTGCCGAGAAAATATTGGCTACATTTTGAATATCGGACAGATACTGATATCTGAGGAAATTCTCTGATATTGCTGATAATCGCTATCTGTTATACCATCCCTAACAGTTTGATCTCTAAAAGTCCTCAAATTATTAGTCCCTTATTTTTATACTCCTGCAGGCTTATGTGGGAGGCCTGGAATTGGTTCAAGCCAGAGAGCAATATGAGGAGATGTGCATTCCGATGGTGGTGATTCCTGCCACTGTGTCCAACAATGTCCCAGGATCAGACTTCAGTATTGGTGCAGACACAGCCCTCAACACAATCACATCAGTAGGATATTGGTTACTTCAAAAATCACCATAAAATATTCTTATAAACTCATTCTCATAAACTCATTCTCCTTTGCTCCTGTCTAGACTTGTGACAGGATAAAGCAGTCTGCAGCAGGGACCAAACGACGAGTGTTTATTGTGGAGACTATGGGAGGTTACTGTGGCTACTTGGCCACTATGGCAGGCCTTGCAGCTGGGGCTGATGCTGCCTACATATATGAGGAAAAATTCACTATTAAAGACCTTGAAGTGGGTACATTTTAAAACCTTTGTCGTATTGAATAAAACAGTCTTTTAATGTGTGTTTATTTATAGATGAATGTGATGCATCTTATTGAGAAGATGAAAACAACTGTTAAGAGAGGATTGATTCTAAGGTTAATATTTTCTGAACATGAACTACAAATATTTTGGGACATTTTTTGTAGGTGCACTATGTAGCATTTATGGTGGAGTGTCCGCTACCTCCTTGTCTCCATAGAGATGTTATTGTGTTGCCTGGAATGTTCCACAGTATGACATTAAACTAGGCCATCTCTATGGGGTCAAGATGATGCCACCACTCCTGTAGATACAGGTCAGATTTGTTGAGAGACTCTCAATAAGAGATTGCAAGCAGTAATGGAATAAATGCAAGATAAGTTTAATTACATTTTGCTCTAACCACTTGGACACTTACGTCACTCCCACACTAAAACATTCTAACTGTCCCAAAAATGATTATTAGTGTGGATTTTTATGGCTGTTTTGTTTCAGTATTTCTTGTTGGTATACTTACAGAAATGAAAGTTGCAACTCCAACTACACCACTGACTTTATTTTCAACCTGTATTCAGAAGAGGGCAAAGGCACTTTCGACTGCCGTAAAAATGTCCTGGGACATATGCAGCAGGTTTGATCAATGAAAATGTTTATGTTCTGTTTCAACTTGATATTGAAGTGTTGTGTCTGTGTGTGTGTGTTATCTCTGACAGGGTGGTACACCTACACCTTTTGACAGAAATTTTGGGACAAAAATGGGGGCCAAGTCTGTCCTGTGGCTAACTGAAAAACTGAAGGACTGCTACAGACATGGTACACTCATGCACACAATACTTTATTATTTACAAAATGCACTAATGTCACAAATAATGCTTGCTTTGTTCAGGCCGAATCTTCGCCAACACACCTGATTCTGCCTGTGTGCTTGGGATGAGGAAGAGAGCACTGACATTTCAGCCCCTTGCTGAACTTAAAGCAGACACTGATTTTGAGTATGCTAGTTTGTGGCAACCCTAAATATGTTTGTTACAATGATTTGACTTTTTTTTTTTTAATAGACATCGTATACCCAAGACGCAGTGGTGGCTTAAGATAAGGCCGATCATGAAGATCCTTGCCAAATATGACATCAAACTGGACACCTCTGAACATGCAGATATGGAGCATGTGATCAAAAAGAGAGGTCAGCTGTAGCTGGCTCTGACTTCAATAAATTACATTTCTGTGTCACATCAAATGACGATTGTTTATTGCTGTCATCGTTGTAATTATATAGAGTTATGGGCATCTTTGTAATCACCAACCAGATTTCACGAAACACGTACAATTTTTACTTGTATAGTGTCTCATTGATTATGTATTTCAAAACTTCATACTGGCTTACTTTGGCTCACAACAGTCAAAATGAGTCGAAGTCTATTTCCTAATAGCTTTCTCAAGAAACCAAATGGCACATGGGTAAAACAGTCCTAAAGGGCTCCAAGAGTGTTTTTTTTTTTTTTTTTTTTTTTTTGGGGGGGGGGGGGTCAGGACTAATCCAGATCTAAACCGGGACTAATCCTGTTTCAGTTCTGGTTTAGTCCTGGTTTAGTCCTGGTTTAGTCCTAGTTCAGTCGTGGATTAATCCTCCTCTTCAGTCCTGGAATCAGTCCTGGGTTAGTCTTGGTTCAGTCCATGGCGTAGGCAGCGCAAAAGTTTGATATAATCTCTGGTTAACGGGCAAGTGCGGTCCTGTAATGCGCGGTTGTGGTGTTGTACTGGGGGTCTCCAAAAATGGACACGTGCGGGACTCTGCGCTGTAGGCTCTATTACGGAATAAATGAATCTTCAGTTCGTTACATAAAGAAGGAGGAAAATAACATGACGACAGCAGCAATAAGTTTTAAGAAGGAAGTAAAAAGGGTTGCACCTGTCTTGTCTGAGAAAAGTGTATCAAGTTTGTGCTGAGGACATGGTCTCCCACTTGTCCCGATAGGGACGGAAAACGGAGAATTTCTTGTACAAGTCATTGTTAAATGTGCATTTGTGCTTCAGCATGTTACAGACTGACCGACTGTTGGTGTCTCGCTCCTTCTGAGTCACAGACGCTACGAGAGACGCTCAATTTAATGAACGGTACTGAAAACCCGGACATTTGCATCACTTTATAAAAAAAAAACCCGGACGCCCCGGACAGGACGTAAAATACGGACATGTCCGGGGAAAAACGGACGTTTGGTCACCCTAGATTAAACTGTAATACAAGAGTATTACTCTGTGATTCAAAGATACCACAGTGGCCACAACTGGGTAAACTAATGAAACCAAAGCTGCCTATCTGCTCCACCAGCTCCTACTCCCACCATCAACACTTTGTGTCTTGCCTAAAGACAACGGTTTTGCCACTGGCACCCCGCTGTGGCACCTGATTTTGATAAAACATTGTTGGAAGGGTATATTTATTAAAGCTTTCTAATTGCTTATCAAGTCCCTCTTAGACATTGTGCGGCTGCCTCTTGACCAGGTCGTCGTTGTAAATGAACTAAATAATATCTAATTCACACACTGTTTAATGAATTACGCTAAATGTCCGATTATTTGAGTGCAGACTATAAATGTTATGTAAAATTAAAACCACTGTGTTACTACTCCTGTATATAAACTACAAAACTCATACGGTCCTTGGTAAAAGTACAGTGGGAATCCGGAACAGGAAGTATCAGTGCAGAGGTCACAGACCGCGGTGGCCGCCGGGAGCAGCGGACTGTGGCTGAAGGAAGGCTGCGTGTCCCCAGTGTCCGCTCCGGTGCCCGGTGAGGAATGCGCCCGACGACGCCGCAGTGTGCTCCAAACTCCGGCAAAAAGCCAGCGGGGTCTGCGGCTTGAGAATAGTCATGATTCTGCACCGTGTGTGGCACTAGGATCGCGGCGGCAAGTTTGATTCATTGAGTTAGCTGTCGTTAGCTGCGGGTTGATTCATAGCGCTAGCCTCGCTTGTAGCTTGGTGCTAGCGTCGGGAGCTAGTTTCAGTGCGCTACTGGCCAATCCAGTCCAACAGGAGACGACCTGCCTGACTGAGCCCAGCCGGTGTTTCCAGAGAAGGAGGTGGAGGCAGCAGGGGCTGGGAGAAC